TGAGACTTTGCATACACATAGTCCTAGGGTAACCCTACATATCTCATTAGTACAGATTTCATGTTTCCAAGGGTCTCGCCGGGAACACCCTTGTAACCCTAACCCTAACCCGCATCGCGTTTCGCCTGCATGTCGCCTCGTAATTTCGTGTTGGGTGTCGGCGTGTCTTTTTTCGCACGTAAATTTTGACATGTTAGACCTATGCGTGAGACACGCATCTTTATAAGAAATGTTAGACCACATCAAAAAACACGCGTCAGACACACTCGCGAAAACACGCGCCAGAATCTTTGGCCAGCGGCAGTCAAATCGGACAGATCAGATAAATCGGCAAGATCGAAAATATCAGCCGGAAAAATCAGCGAGATCGGAAAATCGAAAATATCGGCCAGGAAAATCAGCAAGATCGGAAAAATCGACGAGATCGAAAAAATCGGAACGATCAGCGAGATCGAATAAATCGGAACGATCAGCGAGATCGAATAAATCGGAACGATCAGCGAGATCAGATAAATCAGATAAATCGGTGAGATCGAAAATATCGGCCGGAAAAATCGGCAAGATCGGAAAAATCAGAATGATCAGCGAGATCGCGAGAAATCGGATAAATCGGCGAGATCGAAAATATCGGCTGGAAAAATCGGCGAGATCGGAAAAATCGACGAGATCGAAAAAATCCGAAAAATCGGCGAGATTGTGAAAAATCGGAACGATCAGCAAGATCGGATAAATCGGATAAATCGGCGAGATCGAAAATATCGGCTGGAAAAATCGGCGAGATCGGAAAAATCGGAATGATCAGCGAGATCGGATAAATCGGATAAATCGGCGAGATCGAAAATATCGGCCGGAAAAATCGGCGAGATCGGAAAAATCGGAATGATCAGCGAGATCGGATAAATCGGATAAATCGGTGAGATCGAAAATATCGGCTGGAAAAATCGGCGAGATCGGAAAAATCGACAAGATCGAAAAAATCCGAAAAATCGGCGAGATCATGAGAAATCGGAACGATCAGCAAGATCGGATAAATCGGATAAATCGGCAAGATCGAAAATATCGGCTGGAAAAATCGGCGAGATCGGAAAAATCAATGAGATCGGAAAAATCGGAACGATCAGCAAGATCAGATAAATTGGATAAATTGGCGAGATCAAAAATATCGGCCAGAAAAATTGGCGAGATCCGAAATATCAGTGAGATTGGACACACAAGCAAAAACACGCCTCTGATTATTTGGCAGGCAGCAATTTGTATCTCAGCAACCAGTGAACCAATTTGGCTCATTGAGCCAGCATTTTAATTGTCCAGTTGAGCTGAATATAATGGGGTTATGTATACCATATTAAAATAAGGCAGAGGGGTCACCAGTACCCAACTTGGAGCTCACCAGCTGGCACTGTGTCTGAAAAACTCTGTCGCCAAGCCACTGTAGTGGCTGCTACAAGCACCCAGCACACTCTATAGGCCCTGTAAAGTGTGAGATCAGCTGCCTAGACCCTGGGATCACTGAGATCAAGGGCTGCCCAAGTTTTTTACTTAGTACCAACTGCAGCCCTGAATAAAAAAGCCTGGGCCAAATCAATCCCAGGATAAAAACAAACCTTGGGAGGGTTCAATTGATCTGCCCTGAATATAAAAAACCCTGGGCAGACTCATCCCTCGCCCAAAAAACTCTGGCACCACTGATCTTGCTCTTATATGGCTTGATCTGATGTTCATAACTCCTCCCCTGGCCTCCCTGAGGGACTAGGGATGCTTGCCTGAGTTATTTGGGCTGGGATCAGTGGGTTCCGAGTTAAATCCCTCAATTACCAAGTTTTTTCAGGCCAGAATTTTTCAGCACTTAATTATTTTTGGCTGGTGTACAGCAGAATTATATGGAGACTAGGCACTTCACCAGTGTCCAGGTCAACTTTGGGCACTTTGTCAGTGTCTTTTCTCCCTTCAGGCACTACTCCAGTGTCCTATAGGATAGTGTAGCATGGCCAAAAAAGCATATAAGCAAGGGGTCCTAGCCCATCTTCCCCTTTTTTCTCACCATCACTCCTGCCTTCCACTATCCTCTCTACATCTTATACCTTGACACCCTTCCTTCACTCCTCCTCACCTTTGTCCCTGTTCCTGGCTTGGCTCGTCTTCATGTTAGCATTCACTCTTGTAGTTAGGGTTGCATATCCAGTGGTGATCTTGTCAATTGGGTTACAGATTCTAGACACTCTGTTCCTATGAAGCTTGTTGACCCCCTTGGGTGTTGTGGGTCTCATATACATGGCTGCAGACATGTATACCCTATACTCCCTTGGTTCCCTTCCTTTGGGTTACTGGGCCTCCTCCCCAAAGCAGAGGAGGCAAGGAAAAGGACCACAAGGCATTGGGCCTGGTCCCCTGGGAAACTATTGCCAATTTTTTCCACATTATAGTACAGTAACTGACCACTCTTCTCTTCTCCTTTTGTCTTTGTCTTCTCTTCTATCCTAGCTCCCCTCAAGCACCATGTCTCCTGGCCCCCCCACCATCATCCACTCTGTCCCTCAAGATGTCAATGCCTACAACATATCCCTCTTCCCTCAAGACCTCCTCAAGCTCTACCACCCAGAGCTGACCCTGCAACTCGTCAGCCATGCCCCCACCCCCATCATCAAGGACAACCCCTACTTCAAGGACTGGGTCTACTTTGCCCAAGCTGCCAGCCTCTTCAAGTTCAATCCCTCCCTCAAGCAACCTCTCCTCAAGGCCATGATGGACAGCCACCTTGTCATCAAGCCCTCAACCTTCCCCCTGGCCCTCATCAAAGGCAAGCAAACCATCGCTGTCGGCCAGCTGATGGACTACCTCAGCCAGATAGGCTGCAACACCATCTGCCTCCAAGTCTATGGCCAGAAGCGGCACCTCCTCACCCTCAAGTCCAACATCAGAAACCTCAACCACCCACTTGCCCACCTCAACACATTTGACCTCGGCACCATGTATGATGATCCACGCATCACACTTGTCCAACCTGTGCAGTACAGTAACCCCAAGATGACACTGTACCCCATGCTTCTTCCCATTGCCATGGGCTATGGCTCAGTCCACATGGATATCGCCCTTGGAAAAGGTGAAATGTACCAGGTCAAGGCATACCCACGTCTGGTGCACTGCATCAAGGCAGAGTCAGGCAATCAAGCTCTCTGGGCACCAGACACTGTGAGGCAGGCTAGAGTACGACACACCAACCTCAAGAACCAGTTCAAGGCCATGGAGATCACACCACGCTCCATCATGGGTGGTCTCCGCCTCGAGGTCACTGTCACTGCACCCACACTCATGCTGGCCAAGGACATCATCCACAAGACTCCACTCCTCAACCTTGATGCCTACCTGTATGACAGACTGGAGCTGTTGCATCCCTACCAGCTCAGGATGATCACCATCACCAAGGCAGACTACCTGGCCAACCTCAAGCACCTCCTCACCAAGGCAGAGACAGTCAGGGCTTTCATCGGCAGGGATGAGTCAAAGCTGCATGGCAACAAGAAGCAGATCATCCTTGACCTCTTCAATGCCCTGGGATGGAACACCGGACGCCTCAAGACCACTGCCTTCAATGCTGCTGATGCCTGGTGGCTGGATGAAGAGGACCAAGAGCAGCCTGCTGCTGCACTGGTGCAGGAACCAGAGCCTACCCATATCACCCTGAACCACATCAAGGGTGTGCCAGCCATGAAGGCACTCTTCACAGCACTCAGGAAGCAGTTGCAATGCCATGCCTGCCCTGACCCAGGCTACACATACACATGGGATGGTCAAGCCCAACAGTTCCAAATCAAGTGCTCAGTGTGTGGCAGAAAGCTGAACCAGTCCCAGGCCAGGGAGCATATCCTCCAGCTTGTTACCCAGGATGAGTTGATCTTGCCAGAGGAGTTCCTGCCAGCCCCTGCCGAGTCAACTTGGTCTCCCTCCCCAGCTGAGCCAATCACCACAGTGGAGCGTCTGCCCACTCCAGAGGCTCCAGCTGCCACCACCACCATGCAGCTGCATTCCAAGATGGTCCAGGACCCTACAACAGCCATGGAGATGTCTTTGGAGATCCCCTGGGTGCCCATGCTCAACACTATTGTCCCAATGGATGGTATGGTGGAGGTACCACATCTACCAAGGGTCAAGCGGTCCACCACAATCAAGCCAGATGGTAACTGTCTTTTTAGGGCTGTCAGCTACCATGTCTATGGTACTCAGGACCACCACATGGAGGTCAGGAAAGATGCAGTGGAGTGGCTCCATAGCCAACCATACTTGGTGGCCACCTTTGCTGCAGAGGGTAGTGGTCACCTTGGACCTGGTGCCTGGCTGGACCAGATCGCCAAGGAAGGCACCTGGGGAGATGAGCTCGCCCTTCTGGGACTTGCAGAGGCACACCACTGCAGCCTGTGGGTGTACTCTGACCAGCATGACCTCCACACCACCTACCCAGGTGGAGCTGGTGGACCATACCAGGGGCTCATCCACCTGGGTGGCAACCACTATGAGATCCTGAGCTTGTGATCTGACTGACCAGACTGTATGTACATAGCACTCCTCACAAAGCCCAAAGAAACACCCTTGTAAATAGCCAACAACCTCTGCTGGTCATGACTGTCACATGTCACCAAGTAGGGTTAGAGTTGGCCAACACAAGTCACCATATCTCAATGACCAGACTTCACTCCTGTCTGAAACTCTGTATCCATCATCTCCTAACATGTGTCTACAATGTTCATTAAGGTAGCATAAAGATCTGAGGTGGTCCATATCCTACCCCTCCAAGGGGGGACCCTTGCAGCTTTGGCCAAAATTTCAAAAATGCAAAGTTGGCCGCAGCTCCACAACAAGTTGGTCTATCATCATGACAGTCTAGGACACTCTTATTGGTGTATAGAGCAACAACTTTTATTATGGGTGCATGTTAAAAATATCAATATTTCAATGACCTGACTCGTACCAGGCCCAACTTCACCAAGCTGTATCGGAAAATTTTATTACTCAACTGGAGTAGGGTTGGATAATGAAACATGCATAGTTTGGGTAGTACTACAACTTTGATTAAGCAACCCTACTCGATTTAAAAATGGAACCCCCTTGTAACCCAAGCAAGACACACCGGCTAGGGCTAGGTAGACACTGATCGACTGGATGCCACTAAATGCTTGCAAAACCACATCAGGATGCATGGAGACATCAACATCCAGATTGGGATCATGGAAGAGGTCCTGAAGGTCCTCAAAGAGCCCTGCAAGCTGTTCACTGATGCCAAGGTGTGCATCCTGATCATCATCACCATAGTAGCCAAGAACCTTGCCATCTAGCATGACATGAGCCAGCATGGTGATGAGCATTGCCCAGCAGTCAGCACGCTTGATGACTGTGGGTTGATCAAGGGAGTATGGATGGCTAGGGGTGTCGTCAAAGGCATGGAAGGTTTGCTGCACCTGGCGGCCAGATTGAAGAAGTGCCTCCATCCACTGCTGTGTACACTGTTGTGTCATGCCAAGCAGCCAGTGAAGGAAGTCCTGGTGGGCACCTGGCCACTTGTGAGGGTTGCAGCCAAGGGAACCAATGGCCACCACTGGCTTGCCAGCCCAGTACTCCTGCCAGCCTAGCTGCTTGAGCCATGGGCTGAGATTGCCAGTCACAGTTCGTGGTTGAATGCCCTCCATGTCCAGATCTGCCTTTGCCATTAGCTCTGCATCCTTGGCAAAGAATGCTTCCAGCTGCTCCTTGAAAGCTGCATCCTCCTCTGTGTTGATGTTGGTGTTGATGTTGAAGGCAACAGGAGGGGGTGTAGGCTCGAGCTTGCTGTTGAAGACCCACACATAGCGGGTGAAGGGACCACTGGTGAAGATGGGCTGAATGAGAACAGGGTGGATGACAGAAGCCTTGCCATCATGGCTGCTGCGCTGGTGCTTGTATGCAGAGGAGCTTGACTTGACAGCATACTCGCAGATACTGCAACAGTAGCCATCAAATGTATCAAGCTCCTTGATGAGGTTGATGGGGAGTAGATTGGTGTTGATGCTGACAGTAGCAGGGCTGACAAGGTCGAGAGTAAGGAGTGTCTCCTCCAACAGCTTGATGCCAGTCTTGGTGAGCGGATGATGGTGGGACTTGAGGTGCTGAGACACATTGGCATAGGTTGGGATGAGCGGCAGGTGGTGAGTGCACTCAGGGCGAGTGCAGAGGAGAAGAGAAGGGTGCTGGAGGAGGCGGAGGCGGAAGCTGCAAAGCTGGTTGGCAACCTTCAGATCAACTGGAGCAGCAAGAGCAGTCTGGTTGGCAGCAGGGAGCGGCAAAGTGCTGTTGATGACAAGGAGAGCATAGATAGCACAAGTGACGTCAGTTGATGCTGATCAAGAAGATACACTGGAGAGAGAAGCAGTGTACATACAAGTCATCATCACTGTTGATGGCATCAGAAGGAGCGAGGTCATCAGCTACTGGAGATGGGAAAGCATCATCAGGGTTTGAAAGAGCATTGGCACTGTGCATCGCAAGGTTCTTGATGATGGCAAGAGGAACTTGGCTTTCAGTGAAGGGGTTGATGCTGCTACTGTGACAGTGACAGCAAAGCTCGGTAAGAGACAGAGACTGGTCAGTTGGAGATCAATAGGAAGAGGCAAAGGAAGAGGATAATAGCACGTACCTGACTGCAGCAGCAGTGATGATGCTGGCACCGATGGAGATGGAAGATGATTGAGACATTGTAGATTGTGGTTGGTGTTAGCGGCAAGAAGAGCTAGATGTTGCTGGTGTGGTATGGTGCTGAGAGATGTGAGTGTTGAGGAGACTTGCCATAGCTGTGAAAGAGGGCTGGTATATATGCTAATGCTGAGGAGCTCAGGTGTTGGCAACGACAAAGTCAAAGGATGCATGTGCAGACACACACACAATGATGATGGGGAACAACAACATTGGATTGCTGAGTGTGGGAATAGAGTACAGGTGGTGATGTGAAAGGTGATGTGCAACAAAGCAATGATGAGAACAAAGGGTTGAAGATCGACTAAGGATTGATGATGAGCAAAGGCCTGGAGGAAACAAGTGGCAATGGTGATGTGTGGTGATGGTGAGAAAAGCAGCAGTGGCAAGAACAAAGGGGTGAGAGCGTAAAGGACAAAGGTGTGAGAGTGTAAGAACAAAGGTTAATGATGTCGACAAAGGTGTGAGAGCATAAAGGACAAAGGCTGATGATGTTGACAAAGGTGTTGCAAGGCTGATTGGTAGTGAGGTGTGAGCGTGAGAGAGAAATGATGTCGACAAAGGTGCTGTAAGGCTGAGTGGTAGTGAGGTGTGAGTGTGAGAGAGAAATGATGTCGACAAAGGTGTTGTAAGGCAGAGTGGTAGTGAGGTGTGAGCATGAGAGAGAACAACAGCTGATGAAGACAAGTGGTGATTATGTTGTGCGGTGATGATGAGAAGTAGTGGCAGCAAGAACAAAGGGCTAAGAGTGCAAAGGAGGCTCATGATGTCGACAAAGGAGTTGTAAGGCTGAGTAGTTGTGGGGTGTAAGTGCAAGAGTTGTGCTGGAGCTCTGCATTGCTCTCGAGCTGTGCGCTGCTCAGATTGCGTTGCTCCAGCAGAGTGTGCGTTGCTCCAGCTGTGAGTGCATTGCTCTCAAACAGTGTGTTGTTCTCGAGCAGTGCGTTGCTCTTGAGCTGTGTGTTGCTCTCGAACAGTGCGTTGCTCTCGAGCTGTGCGCTGCTCAGATTGCATTGCTCTAGCAGAGTGTGCGTTGCTCCAGCTGTGAGTGCGTTGCTCCAGCTGTGCGTTGCTCAATTTGCGCTGCTCCAGCGAAAATAAATTTGTTTGCGTTGCAGCACTTGAGCAGTGTAAATTTCGAGTGTGTTGGGGGTCAACGCAGTCGCGTGAATTTCGAATTTGGCGGAGCGCAATTGTGCGTTGCCCGCAAGCAAGACACACCGGCTAGGGCTAGGGATACTACGCTCACAATTACCCAGACCAGCCAGGTAACAATGTGTGCAAGTGCAGGGCACCCTGTTCCTCTCACCAAATGGGTTGGTGAAAGTGGAGGCAAAACAACTGGTAAAAAGAGAAAGGGGTTAGGGACAAATAGGAAAGGTAGTCATATATGGCAAGGGACACTTACAGAACCTGCAGCTGGAAGCAGCAGTGACATTGCCAGCTTGGCCAAGGCATACAGCCTTTGGTCAAACGCAACATGACCAGGCGATGTAACTGGTGCTCTGGTAAAGACCCAGCAGGGACATCCCAGTCGAGGGGGAAGTGGCGATCTGCGACTCTGACCAAAAGGTCAGCAACCATGAACGGTTCAGCCCATTCTGCGATCTCACCATTCGTCAGGAAATGGCGGTCAGGAGGAGGGGGGGGCAGAGTCTGGTGACCATGCCAGCAAGGAGGAGGAGTAAGTGGTTGCACATTCAACCGATACTCCGGGGTGACGGCATGAGGAGGAGCCAGGATGGTGTCGACTATTTCATCAGCAGTTGGAGGAGGGGTGGGGGAGCAAGCCAGCTCAGCTTCCCACATGGCTTGATGCTCGGGAGTGGTCAGTGTCAGGGGTCTCACGCCTGAAACCCAGGTCGGTCTGTCGAGATACTCGGTGACTATCAAACTGTGTGACAGCTATTGTCTCGGTATCGGTGACTATCAAGTTGTGCAGTGACAGCAGGTGGCATTCGTTGTATATACTATCGTAGGTTTCGGCTGACCTCTGTGGACACTCTGTTCAGGGGTAGCTCGGCACGATCAATATCAATGTTATGATGACACCAAGGTCTGGTGTGAGTGTTGATGATGATGAGGTTGATGGTGTTGGTGATGAGATTGGTGATTTTGATGATAATGAGGTTGATGGTGTTGGTGATAAGGTTGGTGGTGTCAACACGAGTGTCCAGTGTGTTGACTTGATGCTTGAAGTGATCCCTGGACCACAGTGGACTACTGCCTTCGGTTCTATCTTGAACTGGACCGCTAACCTGCTATGGGTGCCTTCGGACGTCAGGTAGTGGTGATACAACACACACACTATGATGAGGAGCAACCTTTGATGGATTGCTGCTATGCTGACTGAAACTAATATATACTTATGCTGAAGTGATAACTAGTTATGGTGAGTAGAGTGGATGAGGATCCACTCGACCTATGATGATGAGAAAGCATGGTTATATACCTCTACTCAGCATCGCCAGCGATGCTGCTCCTGCTCTCTCTCTCCAGAGAGTACCTTCTTCATCGAGTACTGCTCAGGGGCCTCTCCTGCTTGGCACCCCTGTGCCTCTTGAGCTGTGTCGATTCCTTCGACACTGCTCCTCCTCCTCATGACCTGATGTCGACTCCTTCGACACTGCTCCTCCTCCTCATGACCTGGTGTCGACTCCTTCGACACTGCTCCTCCTCCTTTGATCAGTGACAGTTCCTTTGGCTCTTGTCTCTCGAGCCCCTGAGTGGTAACCATCTGCATGCTCCTTGAGCTTGGTCCTCTTCATGGCTGTGCCCAGCCCTCCTTGCATATGGGCTCAGTCCTCCTTTGCATGTGAGTCCATAGGAGTCCATGGTCTCCATGGAGACTGCACTACGACCATGCTCTCTACTGATCTCGACTAGATTCTTCGATACCTGTGCTCCTTCCATATGAACCCATGACCCTCCTGCTTCTTGAGCATCCAGGCCCATGACAAGTAGTACCATGCTTGTTACTACATTTCCTGCTGAATTTTGCTGTAGTGCACTTCCTATAGTGATGTTGTTTTCAACCTTTTTGAACACTCGGGGAGGCAACAATTGCCATACATTGTGCTTTTGCTCCTCACCGATTGGTTGCATGTCAGCTCGTCTGGTGAGAGCATTGGGTTCACCACCCTTGTCTCCTGGTCGGTATTGTAGCATGAAGTCGAAATCAGCTAGCAATACTGCCCATCTCGCTTGTTGTCCCATGATGCAGCATTGCAACTTGAAGTACTTGAGTGCCTCGTGATCTGTGAGGATGACTAACTGACTTGGCAATCCTGCTAGCATGTGGTGCCACTGAGTAAGACAGGCAACCACTGTGAGGAGCTCCTTGTCGTGAATCTCGTAGTTCTTTTCTGCAGATGACATCTTCTGGGAATAGAAAGCCACAGGGTGCCAATGTCCTTCATGCTCCTGTTTGAGCACACCAGCGATGGCGAAGTTGCTTGCATCAGTTTCCAACCTTGTTGGCAGGTGGTAATTGAAGTGCCGAAGCACTCCTGCCTTTGTGAACGCTTGTATGAGCTTGTGGAAAGCCTGTTGAGCTTCTTCCGGCAGCTCAAACTTCTTGAGACGTTCTGTAGGTTTGACCAGAGATGTCAATGGTTTGGCAATTTGAGAGAAGTGTGCTATGAATCATTGATAGAAGTTGGCGAAGCCTAGGAATCATTGGATGTCATGTATTGATTCCGGCATTGGCCATTCCTTGATGGTTCAGACCTTCTCTGGGTCCATCTCAATCCTGGTCAGTTTGATGATGTACCCCAAGAACTCAACTGTAGTGATGTGAAACTCACACTTCGACAGCTTGGCGAACAGTTGATTGCTTCTTAATCGAGTGAGCACTTCCGTGACATGTTGGACATGTTCCCCCTCTGTGCTACTGAAGATGAGGAAGTCATCCAGGTACACAACCACAAACACTCCAATGATGTCTTGGAAGATGTGATTGATGAAGGACTGGAAATGGGCCGGCACATTCGCCAGGCCAAAGGGCATCACCAGGTACTCATAGAGTCCCAACTGTGTGCCAAATGCAGTCTTCCATTCATCCCCTTTTGCGATGCGGATGAGATTGTATGCTGCTCACAGATCTAACTTGGTGTAGATCTTTGCATTCTGGAGCAGGAAAAGCTGCTCCTCAATGAGGGGCAGCGGTGCCCGATTCTTGAGGGTGATTTCATTCAGGCCACAGTAGTCCACACATAGCCTGAGGCCTCCATCCTTCTTGGGCACAAAGAGCACCAGAGATCTTGCTGGGCTCTTTGAGGGGCATATGAACCCTTTTGCAAGGTTCTCATCGAGATACTTCCTTAGTTCAGCCATTTCCTTCGGCCCCTTGAGGTATAGTGGGCCCTGTGGCGGCCTACTGTCTTCCATTAGTTCCAGATGGAGATCATGCTCCATATGGTGGGGCAACTTATCTGCTTCCACCTCATCAAACACATCCTGCAACCATCGATATGGTTCTGGTATATCTTCTGCTGATACCTTCCGATCAACCTCTACTTCCATTTCTATGCCCTTGTCAGTGCCGGTGGGTACAAACCTGAAGGCCGGGAGCAACGAGGGTGGGAGGTCCAGGAGCATGAACCCAATGGGTCCATCCTCCAGGGCAGCTTGTATCAGGCTTGCCACTGAAACAAACTCATTTCCATGAATGGTCAGATGTTTCGGTTTCTCATCATAGAGGCATGTTACCACTGATCCGGCTGAATTTGGTGATAGACTGTCTTCTATAGCGGGCTCTTGTTTTAACTCGCTAGCTATAACATCTTTCACCAAATTCGGTAATAAGTTGCTTCTTATGACAGATTTCACTGAGTTCACGTGTAATTCCCCAGGTACAGCTTCTTCAGGGGGCTGTTTCGGGGGTCAGTCCTCGTCCTGGGTCCGGAACTCCAGTTGGCCCGTCTCCCACCGTATGGTGGGTTTGAGCCTTCTTAGCTTGGTGAAGCCCAAGATAAGGTCATAGTCAGCAGTATCGGCCACCGAGGCTTCGACTACTCCGAGACTGTGCTTGCCGATAGCAACTTGAATGCTAGCTGAACTGTTTATGGCAAGCTGGTGCCTGGTGACACCATGGACAGTTCTTGTTTTTGTGGGTATGTGGTACTTACTAACAAAGGAATCTGAAACTATTGACAGTCCAGCACTGGTGTCGGCAAGTATTCGAGCCGGATGGTCTTGAACTGTTCTGGAGAGCTCTAGTACTGCCATTCCTCCGCTGGTAGAGAAGCATATGGGGCAATCTTGATATATACATAAGGATGGCGAGGAGGTTTGCAGAGCAATGCACGCCATCAGTGCATCACCCCACTGCCGTTTCCCTCGTCAGCATCCTCTTGGACCTCTTCCTGGCCAGCCTCCATTGATGGTTGATACTGGCTGAAGTCGAGGATGTTGGGGTCGACCGTTTCTAGGTCATCTGTCTGGTTATCCCCTGGGTCCAGGTCTCCTTCTTCAAAGGAGGTTTCTGTGGTTACCATTACCTTCGGGCCCATGGGTCGGGGCCCCAAGGCGTCTGACTTCTTGCTTGGGCAATCTCTGGCCCAATGGCTGAGCCCCTTGCACAGGTGACAGGTGTTGCTGCTTGGTAATGCAGGGCTTCCTTGTCTCAGACCCTGAACCGATTGATGGGGTAACAGCTGATTGGTTGGTCAGCTAAAGTTCCCTATTGTTGTTTGTGCCGGCGGTCAGGAATAGGTCTGTGTCAGTTGCCGCGCAGGGAATGGACCTTGAGCCAGTGGTGTAGGTCGGCCTCCGGGGTTTGGTCATGATGGAGCAGCGCTTGGGTGCCGGGCCAAGGACTGCTGTAACAACATCCTTTGCCGGTCGATCTCTTCGACCTCTCAATACCATTCCCACCTCTTTAAAGGTGGGTTCCGCTCAAACTTCTCCTGCAGGCTGCATGTGAGACTTCCCCTAAACAAGTCAATAACTAGTTCATTGTCATCTAGATTGACTTGTCCTTCTAAGTCTCTGAATTGTTCGATGTGGCATGTGGCTGCACCTGGTGCATTGCTCGTGAGCCAGAGAGCCAGAAGTTTGTTATAGGCCTCCATTCTGGCATTCCAAGGATTGAACTGTTCCATCAGGCACTCAGTGAAGTAGTGCCAATCATTGAACAGTCTTCCTTCTCGGCCTCTGTCGATGCGAAGCTTGGAAGTCCACCATTTGCGAGCGTTCCCTTCCAATTGAGCACCCATATGATTGATCATCCTTGCCTGCTCATAGACCTGGTTGAATTTGAACCATGCCTCAGCCTCAAGGATGAAAATCTCAACATCTCTAGGATTAAACTTGGGGAATGGGGTGGCGACCGGCTTGGAGTGCGAGAGACTGGGGTCTCCGGCAGCGCTCATATCATCCTCTTGGTCGAAACCATGAGGTTCTGCCCTTGGCCGGCTGTATGGCTCCACATGGGGCCTGAAGTATCTGGGCCCAGTGGGTGAGGCATACTTGTCATAGTTGTCGACCAGCAGTTTGCTCGGTCCCATGAATGATACTGCCTGCCTTGGACACGATGCTGGGGATGGTGTGGGAGGGTCTCCCATCATGTCTTCCCTAGCCCTTTGATCCTCTGGGTGGGAGGGCTCGATCGTCTCCTCTCCACTCAGACAAGCGCAACGTAGATGCTCTTCGCATTGCCCTTGCCTGGTAAGCTCCAACTGGGCTTCCATTAAGGAGAGTAGCCTCTCGAGCTTATCGTTGAGGCTTTCGTCTGTCATGTTGATCGTGGGGTGCTGCTTGAACGATCCACTCTAATGTCAGCAGTTGCGTGCCTGAAACCTGAGATCAGTAGTAGTATCAGTACTATCACCGATCCTGTCGATTTATGCGACAGTGCTAGTGGTATTACGATTCCTAGTGTAATATGCAACAGAACTGTCTCTGCTGCTTTTCTCGTTGGAATCTGTAGTTGTATTGATGTTGTGACAGATTTCGACTGACCACCGTGGACACTCCGTCCAGAGGTAGCTCAGCATGATCAAACTATGATATGACTCTAAGTGAACTTGATGTTGTCACCAATGGTCTGGTGTGAGTATGGATTGATGATGCCGACATGAGTGTCCAGTGTGTTGACTAATGCTTGAAGTGATCCCCAGACCGCAGTGGACAACTGCCTTCGGTTCTATCTTAATCTGGACCGCTGGTTTGCTAAGAACTGCCTTCAGACATCAGGAAACAGTGATACAACACATGCACTTCGATGAGGAGCAATCTATTGATTACTACTATACTGACTATAAACTCATGATACTTATGCTTAAAGTAATACTAGTTTGTTTGATGAGTGTAGAGTGGATGAGGATCCACTCGACCACTTAGTGACAAGAAGGTATGGCTTTATACCTCTTCGCAGTGCTGCCAGTGCCACTGCTCCAACTCTCTCTCCAGAGAGTACCTCCTTCATCGAGTGCTATGCAGGAGTCCCTGTAACCCTACTCCTGTCCCTCTTGAGCTGCGTGGCGACCTCCTCGACACAGCTCTTCTTCCTCATGAACTATATGCTGGTGTCCTTGACACAGTTCTCCTTCCTCCTAACTGGTGACTGTTCTCTTGACTCCTATCTTGTGAACCCCTGAGTGGTAACCAGCTGCAATCTACTGAGCTCGGTCCCCATCTTGGCAGAGCTTGGTCCTCTGCACGTGTGGATTCATCGTACGAACATCCTTGTCACTGATCTCTGCAGAATCTACTATACAACCTCTCCTACTACTGATCTCATCAGAATTTGTGATATCATCCTTGTTCGTACCGATCTCACTGAGATCTGTCATAGAGCCGATTCTACTGCAGATCTTGGTGACTTCTGCCACAAATCCTACGATCTGCCCGATCCCCTGATTCCTGTGCTCCCTTCATATGAGCTAGCGGTTCTCCCTGCTTCCTGCACACTCAGGCCCATGACAACTGGCAGGAACAACATGGGGACATGTCACCCCCTTTGAGCTCTTCTATGGGAAACATCCTGAGCTATGCCAGATCCAGCATTTCAGCTGCATAGTGTACATCATCCTCAGAGGAAACACTTGCATGACATGGTTGTGAAAACACCTGATAGTTAGTAAGCACCTCTGCCCACAAGCTCTCTGTGGAGTCTACTTGGGGTTCTCAGATGCTCCACATGCAGTCAAGGGCCACCAGGTATGGCTTCCAGAACTAGACCACATCATTGTTTCAAAGGACATACAATTCTCAGAACTCGAGCAACTGGAACCCAGAGCCACTCCAGCTCATCCACCAGTTCTTGCCAGGAACAGTGAGCTCCTATGGTCATACACATGGCTCCCTCACAGCGATGACCATGTTCAGGAGGAACCCAACAATGATGCAACACAGTATCTGCCATCTTACTCCTGCCAGAGGAACTCGAGCTCATGTTCAGTCTCACCAAATGCACCAAGCTACAACCAGGAATGGGATCATATGATGGCTGAGATTGAGGCAGCAGGTGAGGTTGTGGTGGACCTCGATGTGATTGCTGTTGACCTGGAAGCCAAACTTGATGCCACTCTGTCTGAGGGGGGGAACAGTTTGTTGAGCCAAGACCAGGTACTCCAGAATGATCCGGAAACTGTGTCTCTACTCAGAATGCCAGGCAGCAACATAATGACAGACATATATGATGATGTCTCCATACTTGGGCCCACTCCTGCTGAGACACCGACTCAACCCAGTTTTCTGGCCTTTGTGGCAACATGTTCAGGAACTCAGGTGTCAGGGGTCTTGTGCCTGAAACCCAGGTCGGTCTGTCGAGATACTCGGTGACTATCAAACTGTGCGACAGCTATTGTCTCAGTATTGGTGACTATCAAGTTGCACAGTGACAGCAGGTGGTGTTCATTGTATATACTATCATAGGTTTCAGCTGACCTCTGTGGACACTCCATTCAGGGGTAGCTCGGCATGATCAATGTCAATGCTATGATGACACCAAGGTCTGGTGTGAGTGTTGATGATGATGAGGTTGATGATGTTGGTGATAAGGTTGGTGGGTGTTGATGATAATGAGGTTGATGGTGTTGGTGATAAGGTTGGTGGCATCAACACAAGTGTCCAGTGTGTTGACTTGATGCTTGAAGTGATCCCTGGACTGCAGTGGACTACTGCCTTTGGTTCTATCTATATCCGGACTGCTAACCTGCTATGGGGCACCTACAGATGTCAGGTAGTGGTGATACAACACACACACTATGATGAGGAGCAACCTTGATAGATTGCTGCTATGCTGACTGAAACTAATATATACTTATGCTGAAGTGATAACTAGTTATGGTGAGTAGAGTGGATGAGGATCCACTCGACCTATGATGATGAGAAAGCATGGTTATATACCTCTTCACAGCATCACCAGCATTGCTGCTCCTGCTCTCTCTCCAGAGAGTACCTTCTTCATCGAGTACTGTTCAGGGGGCCTCTCCTGCTTGCTTGGCACCCCTGTGTCTCTTGAGCTGTGTCAACTCCTTCGACACTGCTCCTCCTCCTTGCTATCCTGCTGCTTGTTTGGCACCCCTGTGCCTCCTGAGTGGTGTTGACTCCTTTGACACTGCTCCTCCTCCTCAGGACCTGGTGTCGGTTCCTTTGACTCTTGTCTCTCGAGCCCCTGAGTGGTAACCATCTGCATGCTCCTTGAGCTTGGTCCTCTTCATGGCTGTGCCTGGCCCTCCTCACATATGGCTTGATCCTCCTTTGCATGTGAGTCCATAGGAGTCCATGGTCTCCATGGAGACTGCACTATGACCATGCTTTCTAATGGTATCGACTAGATCTTCAATACTTGTGCTCCTTCCATATGAACCAGTGACCCTCCTGCTTCTTGAACCTTCAGGCCCATGACAGCTACATTCTAGCTCCTTTCGCACAGGTGTATAGTAGATGCAATGCTTGAGATTTCTGTTAACTAGTATTACAGAATTACTCATATATATACCTTTGATCCATCTGTGTTGGAATGTATTGCTTTCCTACTAACAGAATGTACCATGTGTTGCCTTGGCACTGTCTTCTATGCATGCTTCCTGATTGGTCGCCACACATCGACTATGCATGCACGTCCCTTGGCCTCTCGGCAACTCGGCTTTCTCGCATGTCGCTTGAACTCCTGCTAACTCGCTCGCATCTTTAACTCAGCCGTCATGATCGAGTCGTGACAGTTACTCCGGTCTGGACACTTTGTCATGTCTGCTAGCTTTGCGAAGACTCGTGTTAGGCCAGACAGGTGATATCTTGCTTCAAGAAATAAAAACATGTCTTCTCTGCACAGGGTGTGGACAGTGGGCAGTTGAAATCTAGAAGACGGTCTTTGGATATATCGAGCTGGATTCGTTAGGTGCTTGCTTGATACATTCACCAAACTCAACCAAAACAGCTTTTCAGAGAGAAGACCAGTTTTAGGCCCACATAGGCTGGCATAGGTCAAGTAGTAGTCACAGAAACACTGCGGACTGGTGTTGGACTCCACGAATGGACGTAGAAGCTGGTCAGGAGCAGGAGTGGATGTATATGGATGTCCAGTCAGTTGGAAATGACATGTAGAGGGAGCTTTTGTTCTTCACATATCTACTCAGGGATCTAGAAATAGAACACCGGATATCAGTTTGTCGAGAGATTGCAAAGCAAGCTGCCCGCTCACCACTGGACGGCAAGTCCATTGACTGCTTCGTCCTGAACAGCTCTGTACTGGGTACGGAAGAGTTTGTTCCTTGCCTTGTCGAGTGCTACCTTGTCGAGGTTTGAGGCAGCAAGGTGGGAAAGCTCTTGAACCACCAACTCGGCGAGGAGGTCTGCATATGCTTTGATCTTTGTAGCCTGCTTCTGCTCGGGAGGGTGCAAAACAGCAAGCGACTCGAACAATCGTTGATGTACTTCTGTACGGATCGACTTGGCATTGCTGCTCGACAGTGGTGTATTGCTTCCACTGCCAGGCAGCGTCGGTGTTGAGGCAGCCGAATCACCAGCTGCAACGTCCTTGTTGATCGTAGCAACATTGAGAGGTGTGTGGGCAACACTCGATCCTTGCCAGTAGGCCTCTTCAACACGTCGAACCCATTCCTTGGTGGTGCCCTGCCAACCTTTGATTTCTTTCTGCTTGGTACCGTCGATGATCTCGGGATCGTGATCGTCGTCGTGCTTGCCGCGTTGACTGGAGGGGTTTTTCTTGTTGTGGAGCATCAACTCGAGGTGGTCTGTGCCGTTGGTTTGTTGGGCTGCCCAGCCACCTTTCGAGTAGCCTTCCGGGTCGAGCGTGTCGTTGGTGGTGCTGCTCTGTGTTGCGTCGACGGTGGGAGGTCGGATTTGTCCACCGCCATTGACACAGCCTGAGGGACAAGCCATGACCTCGACGTAGTCGTATCCGCGTTCTTCTTCTTCTTCTTTTTCTTCTTCTTCTTCCTGTGCTGGAGTGAGCCGAGTTGTTGTAGTCGTTGCAGTGGTTGCAGTGGTTGCAATCGTTGCCTCTTGCGGTGCATCTGGGTTAAACGGACTGCTCTTGCTGACGGCAGCATTGCCTCGACCTCTTCTAATCATTCCGCCACGTCCACGAGCACGTGCACGTGCTGCTGCCCGATTGCGACCTGGTCCAGCTCCAACTGGATTGCCATCTGGATCGACTAGTCTGCCTGCTGCTCGGCGTGTGTTGCGTGCTCCGGTCTGCTTTTGCAGCTTTCGAACGAGGTTTTGCAAGTTGCGGAAGCCATAGCACTGTGCGCCGCGGAAGAGAATGTTCCAAGACAAGTTGGTCTGGGGATCTACATCCAAAGAGAGCTGTGCAGGCGCACGAAGGATGAACTCGGTAAAGTCGGCGGTACGAATGACTCGAACGTCGAGCTTGGGAACAAGACCTCGCTGGCGAACTGATTCCGGGAACTGATGCCAGTGCTGTGAGATCCAATCGAGCCAGACAGCACGCATCAGATTGAAGAGATAACCGCCGCTGCTGCTTCCAGGCTGATCGAGCAGCTCTGGGAAATGAGGGAGGATGGCGACTGTATTTGCGTTGGGCTCGGAAGCGCCACGGCCGAGTGCTTGCTCAAGACTGAGATCGGCAAGCGACTGCTGCATGGTCTCTTGCTCGCCAGGCACGGGGGCGCAAAGATCGAAGCCTTGGTCGAGCATCAGCTTATCGAGCTCGCCAGTGGTGAGCACACAATCGACCTCCTTTGTGTTGGTGATGTCGTCGTAGAAATCAGGGCGGGAAGCTTCGAGCTTCTTATCGTAACAAGGCATGACGGTGAGGTGGTAAATGTTTGGTTGGGATGAAGCAGGGTCGTCTGTGCTGCTACTCGGCCGCGTCTGTAGTCCTAATCTGTGCGGAAGGAAACGCTTTGCAATGACACCTGCTACCTGCTGCGGTGACTTTGTTGTTGATACGTAGGGAAGCAGCTCTCCGAGGGTCTTTTCAGCATAGCAGATCCATCCTGGACATGCGCTCGCAAGCATGGGCAGTGTGGGCTCGTGGGACCTTGTGGCGGCGTCGTTGTTGAGCTTGGCATGTTTGTGTGAGTTGGCTCGACGCTGGAAGAACTCTCGCTCGTGCTCCTTGAGTGCGATATGGCGTGCAAAGGTTGTATCGTAGACGTGGTCGAACTGAAAGACGGTTTTGAGAAAGTACGAGATGCGGTGAAGAAGAACAGGTAGCGGTAGTGTCGAAAGCCCTGCCTGATTTGACTCGGATGATGATGGTGATGATGATGTTTGCTGCTGATTCTGCTGGAAAGTATACTTGGCGGAAAGAGATGCCAAAGACTGTGTGCTAATCGAAGCAACAAGCAATTTAGGCCTTGTTGAACTGTGAATCTCTGCAACAGCGCGACGAAGCTCTTCCTGACTCTGCATGGTAATCAGAACGCTCTCTGCACTGGTGACACATCCACTGCAAGCCAGACAATCGTTGAGAGAGATTTGGGCTGTTTCGAGTTTGGTTCGCTCTCGTGGTTTGCTTCCACTGGCAGCAGCAGCAGCAGCAGAAGTGCTGGCACTTGTTGATTCGTAGTATGAACCGTCACGATCGATCGCGATCTGCGTTGAAGCGGTTGCTGCGGAATGGATTTGGTCGGATGAGCTGGTGTGATGGTCTGTTGGTGCATCTGTTCCTTCGACTGGTTTGATGCATGCTTGCGAGGGTCCCAAATAGTCGTTGAGGTCGGTCAGTGTTAGTGCACCTGAGAAGGCCATCTTTCCGTGAGAGCAGCCGAAGTGAGCCTGTGATGGTAGTGTGGTGATGGAGATGGTGGTGGAAAGCTGAGCTCGATTCGGTGGCAAAAACAGCTGACCAATCCGACCGCCAATATTTTGCAAGAGACGCGAGTGTGAGATCGCTGCAACCAACACCTTTGGAGATTGCTAACCCTTTCTCGTGCGAATAGACGCCATTCCGCACGAGAGAGTTGGAATTCCTATCGTCGGCTTTGTACGGAAACTAGAAATTAAAAGCATGTGACTTTTGGATCCAATCTAACACCTTCGGATATGTATCTCGCCGGTTAATAGATAGCCGACATGGTTGCCGCCCGTCGTCATTTCCGGTTCTGGCAACGTTGCCCAGTATGCTGCTTTAAAAGTGCTCGAGCTTGGCGGTATGGTTCTCTCGCTCTCGGACTCGGAGGGATCTCTGGTTGCCAAGGATGCTTGCAACGCTTTCACCGCTGAGATGATCCAGGAAATCGCCGAGATCAAGTAGAAGCGTGGCCAGCTTTGCTCGTTGGGCGATGCCAATGGTTGCTTCAGCTTCCACCAGGGCGCGCGCCCTTGGAAGCTGGTCGACTGCTACGACGTTGCTCTACCCTCGGCAAGGCAAAACGAGATGAACAAAGAGGAAGCCGAAGCTGCTCTGGCTGCGGGATGCCGTTAGGTCGCCGAAGGATCCAACATGGGTCTCGACCAAGCTGCTATCGAGGTGTTTGAAAACTCGCGCCTCACACGATCTACTCGATGCTGGTACGCTCCCGGTAAAGCGGCCAACTTGGGTGGTGTGGCGGTGAGCGGGCTGGAGATGGCTCAAAACTCTGCTCGTCTCACCTGGTCTCAGGAGCAAGTAGAGGCAAAGTTGAACGAGATCATGAAGAACGCCTAGGACAACTGCTTCAAGACGGGCGAGGCTTTCGCCGCCAAGGAGGATAAACTTGCCAAGCTTGGTCGGCGGTGCCAACATTGCAGGCTTCAAGAAGGTGGCTGATGCTATGAAGCAGCATGGTGACTGGTTCTGAGTGGTTGCCAGATGGTGATCATATTGGCTCTTGTTTTGCTGTCTTGTTCTTGCCTTCTGCTGTGTATTCATTAATCACTCTTGCGTCTCGTGTGTGTTTTCTTAGATGAATGTTGAACCCAAGCTTGAATTGACGAGATCGGATAGAGGAGATCGGATACAATGCGTTCAAAATATGAGAGAGAGCAGCAAGAGAAAGCGGATCAGAGACGGTCACGCTTGTACTGTTTGTCGAACTGCTGGTTGACGGACATCAATTTGGTGTTGGTACCCGGTTCGACATTGTTCCAAGGGGTAGGGTTGTTGGTGCGGTCCCAGATGACGTCGGGTCCACGTGCAAGACGAGTCAAGTACCTGTGTCGATGGAGGAGAGAGAGTGTGTCAGAGTGGGTGTTGGTCATCCATGCCATCCACCAAGGCCTATAGTGCGATGGGCGAGGAGGATGGAAATGAGACTTGGCATCCGATGAGATGCATCTAGGCAAGATGACTTACCAGGTCGCACCACCAGCAGCAAGACCAGTGATAACGTAGATGGGAAGAACTTCAGGGGAGTACCTATTCAACCAGAGGCAAAGGGGGAAACGAGTGTCAGTATTGGCAATCGGCTTCAACGCTGGGCCGAGTCGAGATGATGATCGAAGCAGCCGCTGCCATCTTCTGTCGCTATCTGGTTTGAACGCACCAGTTCTTCATGAAGATCTGACGAGCCTTGTTCTTTGCCGCCTGAGCTACGGGACCTGCCATCTTGAATATCAGTTACGACGAGCGACGTGCGGGTTTGGCTATCGTGGTGATGATGGAGGAGCGGATGATCGAATCGAATGCAATCCAATTGCCACCAACTTGTTTTCGCACGCCCAGAGTGTAGACTCTCTCGTACGGCTTTGACACGCTTTGCCATTTAGGCGAATCGGATTCGGATCCGACTTGAATTTGGAAAACGCATGTTAGAGCAGCGTTGATTATTAACAGCCGTAAGCGTTCGCTCGAGGGAGGCGCTATTTATTTCTTCTGACCACAGGCCGGCCATTTTGGTTGCGTGCCAGGAAGGACCAGCGGAGGTGAGAGCGGACAAGCCGAAAGCTAACAGTCATCACCGTGGGAATTCTGCCAGCCACAAGACACCACTCTTTCTGCAATCACAAAGTAGCTGCTGGCTTGCTCTGTCGGACCCGCCGATTCGACACTTTGGCTCTCGACGGAAGGTCCCGAAAGGGGCGTGAAGGATGAGGAGAAGAATGAAGAATGTGGCGTTGTGATAGAAGCGAGAGTGGAGAGATAATAAAAAGTGACGCAAAAAGTGCGACTCGCTGTGCGGATCATCCGTCCCCTCGCACACGGACAGCACAGCAACAGCAACTTGTACACACGCATGTATTGGCTCCTAACTCGTCCATCACATCGGCAGCCGTAGATTGGCGTTGGTTGCTTGCCTTTCCCTTTGCTCGGACGCTTTCCGCCAAGCGATTCGGCTTCAGGAGAGCAGCCAAAAACGCCTCGCAATCTCTCATCGGCTGCTCTCCGACGACGATGACTCAAGGGTCAACGGCTGTTCCGACTCAGATGATCCGCCTCAGCAGTGAATGCTCTTGGCCATCCTCTTTGCCATCCTCTTGGCCACCCTCTCGACCACCACCACCATCGCAAGCTTAGCAGAGTCTCGTCGCAACAATGACCTCTCAGCCCCATACTCGCACCTCCCCCTCTCCACCGCCCAGCGTCGCCACGGCGTCGTCACGATCAACATCAGCACCATCGCAAACACCATCGCAAACACCATCGCAAACACCATCGCAAACACCATCGCAAACACCACTATGCACTTTACGCGTGCAGATCCTCGCCGCCAAGGATCTCGCAGCCAAGGACAGAAACGGAAAGTCGGATCCCTTTGTCGTCGTCAGCTTGCCCGGCTCGGCTTGCTCGTCTCACCACGCTGCTGCTCATACCACCGTCCAGCAAAAGACGCTCGATCCCGCTTGGAAGCCTGAGGAAGCGACCTTTGACTTTGCCGTGCTGCCAGACTGGTTTGGCCCTCGCTTTTCAGCTGTAGCTAGCAACCACATGCATTCCAGCCTAGTTCAAGCTGCTATCCAACAGGCCATGTCCGCCACTGATCCCAATGCGAATCCAGCTAGCCTCACTCCTGATGCTGCTACCAAGTCCAGGCCTCGTCTCAACCTTTGCTCTGCTTCCAAGATCCTCATTGCTCCTGTTCGACTCGGTGCTGCAGGTGCTCGAGTGGTGGGAAGGCAAATGCCCAGACCCATGCGTCTTGGTCGTAAACCTCGTCCTTCTTGTTCCTCCCCCTTACCAGCCGACACCCTCCCGCTTTCCAGCTCCACAGCAGTCCTTCAGGACGTCAGAGCACCTCGTGGCTCCATCCAGCTCGACGCTTCCAACGGCATGGTCTCCACCCTCGAGTTTGTCATCTGGGACAAGGATCGCTTTTCAGGCGATGACTACATGGGTGAATGCTCTCTTCCTGTAGCTCAGTGGTGTAGAGATGGTCTTGCCCATTGGTCCAAGGCGCAGCCACTTTGGTTGCCCCTCGAATCCACACATCCAGATGCAAAGATCAGCGGCCAGTTGCACGTCAAGATTGGCTTTCTGCCTCTTTCCCATTCCGCATCGACAAATCCCTCTTCCACAAATCCCTCTTCCACAAACCCCTCTTCCACAAATCCCTCTTCCGATGCTACATCGCCGATGGCATCTTGGTCAATCGATCAGATCTATCACCGTCTCGTGTTGGCTGCACTGGGTGCAACCGGTGCTGCAGTCCGTGCCGTTCCTGCATCTCAGTCCGTCGGTACTACAGCTGCTGCAGAAGCCTTTGTCGATGACGGCTTGAGCAGCAGCAGTGAGGAAGATGACCATGACACAGACCGCTACACTGAAGAAGAAGAAGAAGATGATGATGATGATGATGATGATGACGACGACGACGATGGTGATGATGATGATGATGATGATGATGATGATGACGAGGGAGACTACTTTGTCGCAACATCCGAAGCCGAGCCCAGCGACTTCAACCAAGCTGCAACGGGTGGTGTTGAGTTTGATTCAGACAATGAAGCTGTCTATGACCAACACTACCTCTCCATCGCCGGTGGCCTCCCCACATCCTCCTCTTGGCAGTCTGCAGGCGCTCCTGCTCTGCTGACTCCACCACCAAGACAACAGGCTCAACCAACCCGGGCCAAGTATCGACGCATGTTTTCACTCAACAAGGCTCCCAAATCGGCACAGACATCTGGCACTACAACACCTGCTGAAGGCCTGAGCTCCGATTTCGATCCATCAAGGCTAACAACGCCTCTGGAGTCTGCTGCAGTCGCAGCCGAAAAGCCACGCACAAACAGGCGATTGCCAGGCGTCAAGCGATTGAAGCAAAGCGCTGCACTGCCACCTTCTGCCGCCCACACAGACGCTGCTGCCGACCAAGGTGCTGCTGCTGTCAAGCGTCCTCCTGCTCGACCCAGAAGGAGCGGTGGCAAGCGTGGCGGCAAACGCGGCGAATACGCCTTCAAGGCCGAGATGGGTATGGACATCATCGGCATTGTCATGATGGAAGTCAAGCGTGCCTCTGATCTTCCTCGCTGGTCCAACATGACCCACACCGGTTTCGACATGGATCCCTTCACCATCATCAGTTTTGGTCAGAAGATCTTCCGCACACGAGTTGCCCGACATACCCTCAATCCTACGTGGAACGAAAAGCTTCTCTTCCACGTCCGAAGACACGAGACCAACTTTCAGGCCAAGTTCATGATCTACGACTGGGATCGCATGTCGTCCAACGACTATGTCGGTGGCACACAGATTGCAGTCGCAGATCTCCTCGATGCTGCGCCCAAGCCGGACCCGCAGACGCGTTTGTACAAGACCGACGATGAGGGCATCCTCGGCAAGATGAAGGCCTTCACTCTGCCTCTGGTTCGCATCGAAAAAGACGAGCAAGTCAAGTTCAAAACGACCAAAAAGCAACCCACGCTCACAATCCAGGCCAAGTTTACGCCTTATGATGCACTACGTCAGCGCTTCTGGAGGCAGCTGGCTCAGCAATTCGACACCAACGATAGTGGCACACTCTCGCGTCTTGAGCTTTCCAGCATGCTCGACAGTCTTGGAAGTACACTCAGCATAAAGACGCTCGACAGCTTCTTCCTTGAAGTCAACAAGAACCCAGAGGAGGATGAGCTGACGATCCAAGAGACCATCCTTGCTTTGGAGGCCGAGGTGCAAAAGCCTTGGGATCGCAAGAGGAAAGCAGCAGCAACCCCTCTGGGTCTCAATAGTGGTGCTCAGACGCCTTCTCTGTTTGGAGGTGTGAGCGATGTTGGAACCGACTCGAATCAGGATATGGATTTCAGCGGTGCTGATGCGCCGCCCGGTCAGCCTGCTGGAGATGGCAGCGGTGCTCGACCTGTGCCGCCGCAGAGGATGGCCTCCGGAAACAGCAGCAACGGCGGCAATGTTCCTGGCGCGATAATGACCAACTCGGGTGATATGATGCGCACCTTGGATCGTGACTTTTCCGCGCTGTCGAGCAATACTTCAGCCTCGAGCTGCGGTATGCTCTCCACCTCATTCACGCCTCCGCTTATCAATGTCGAAGGCGAGAACTCGTCAGCTGAGGATGGACAAGCACCAGAAAGAGTGGTCCGATTGCAGTCCTGCCCACTCTGCCACATGCCTCGCTTACACAAGAAGGGCGAGATGGACATTATCACCCATCTCGCCGTCTGTGCTTCTCAGGATTGGAGACGAGTAGACAGTCTCAGTGTGCGCAACTATGTTACTGCAAGCCAAGCGCATCGCAAGTGGTATACCAAGGTTGTCAACAAGATCAGCCAGGGCAACTACTCGCTTGGTGCCAACAGCGCCAACATTATCGTTCAGGACCGTCTCTCGGGCGAGCTGATGGAAGAAAAGATGCAGGTCTATGTGAGATTGGGCATCCGACTTCTCTATCAGGGTGCAAGATCGCGCATGGAGGGCGCAAGAGTCAAGAAGATGCTCAAGAACATGAGTGTCAAACAGGGAGTCAAGTTTGACAGCCCTGCCAGTGCACGCGAGATCCCGACGTTTATCGCTTTCCACAACCTCAACACAGACGAGATCAGGGATCCCTTGGACAGCTTCCAAACTTTTAACCAGTTTTTCTACCGCAAGCTCAAACCGGAAGCACGACCGAACGAACAAGGCGACAATGCCAGCAGGTTGGTCAGTGGAGCCGACTGTCGAATGATGGCATTCCCTACCGTCTCGGAAGCGACGCGCATTTGGATCAAAGGCCGCGATTTCTCCATAGCTCGCTTACTCGGCGATGCAGCCAAAGAGATCGCCGACATTGAGGCATACCAGACTGGTGGAGCACTTGCCATCTTCCGTCTGGCACCGCAAGACTACCATCGATTCCACTGCCCCGCAGACGCCACCGTCGGCAAGCTGACTTGGATGAGAGGACAGTACTACACGGTCAACCCAATGGCAGTGCGTAGCGCGATCGATGTGTATGGCGAGAATATCCGCGTTATTGTACCGTTCCACTCGCAACAGTTTGGAACCTTCTACGCCGTCTGTATCGGAGCAATGATGGTCGGAAGCACAGTGCTGACCGTCAAGGAGGCTGAGGAGGTGAAAAGGGGACAGGAGTTTGGCTATTTCAAGTTTGGCGGCAGTACGATTGTCCTCGTGTTTGAGAGGCAGAGGGTCGAATGGGACGAGGATCTTGTGGATAACAGTAAAGCGGCGATTGAGACGCTTGTCAAGGTAGGGATGGGGGTGGGCAGAGCACACCAGAAGCTCTGATCTCGGCATTTCTCAAGAATGCAGTCCAGGTCCGGTCAAGGTTAAGCGTCTAGAAACAACACTGACAATCGAAAGGACAGTCAGGCGTATCTCCGCTACCCTCTCCCAACCTTAGCTCGGCGGCGGTGAAGATTGGCAATCCATCGTCTGTTCGTTTTCGAGCCGAGGTTGCACGCCAATCGGTCAAACGATCTAGGTCGTCGGCTGTAGTTTGCCTGTTTGGTGGGCGAGATTTGGCTGGTGCTCCGGATGCGCGCGCGATGGTTGGGATGGTGTGCGATGTGTCTGTAACGACTTGGACCGAGTTGAGTTTGCAGTTTGCTTTGCACTTTGCTCCTGTTGGTGTTGAGGAGGAGGAGGCTTGGGCCTCTTGCGCCGCTGGCTCTTTGTGCTTGCCATGCTTGCCATGCTTGCCATGCTTGCCTTGCTTGTTCTTCTTCTTCTTCTTTGCCTCTCCTCTATCGGCGACCTGGGCTTGACGTTTAACCTTCCTCGCCTCCTCCCTCCTCGCCTCCTCCCCGATCGAACCTAACCCTACGGCCTTAAACGAAGCGCTGGAGAAAATAACATCGATCTCCGAGGCACCCTTGACAGTTTGCGCTGTCACTTCGACCTTTCTACTACTTCCTGCCATCTTCCAACTCGCGCAAACGGTGCAAGTGAAGCAAGCAGACCAACGCAACGTCGAGGGAAAGAAAAGTTGAAAAAAAAAAAAAAAAAAAGAAAAGAAAACAATTCTCGGAATTCGGTTGTCGAATGCGCGTCGAACAAGGTTGATTACAAGAAACAAATCTGTCAGCTAGATGCAAGATGAATCTGTCTGTATATGGCCAGTTTGAGTTTCAGTGCAGGTGATGCAATCTTTCAATACCTGGAGTGCAGCACTAGGTCAGGATGTCGACATTGTTTGTGCATTACGTTGCTAGTGAATTTGCATGGCTTCGGTGGCTTGTCCAGGTCAAGACATTCTGGCAAGTCGGGCTATGTCATTATCAATTGTCGTTGTGAATGCTTCTGAGTTGTTTCAGAGGATTCCCCAGTGTTTACTGTGAAGCTTGGCATGTCTGAGTACTTCATGGCTGTCTGGCCATTTGAGGCATGCTTTATCAGATTCAAAAGTCACACATATGTCATGGGGCCAGATGATTGTGCAGGAAGAACAGAACTCATATGAAGAGATCTGGTGCAACCATTGTGAATTGGGTGAAAGTAGAGTTCCAACAGAGTTTGGTGAGATTGGTAGGAACAATGGCTCTATGACATAACTCATTGTGATCGGTAGGAGCAGGGGTCTTGTTACACAAGTGGAATCCCACACAGAGGTAGAGATCCAACAGGGAATGGTGAGATCAGTAGGATCAACAACCCAATGACATGGATTGGTGTGTTCAGTAGGAACACAGGCCCTATTACAGGAGTCAGTAGAATCAGCAGGATCACATTCACTACAACAGGCCTCACAAGACTTGGCTCAAGAGAAACCTCTATCACCAATATGGCAAAGGGATGGCAGAGAACATGGGAAGAGTTGCCACTGTAAGAAGCAGGGACCTTGCACAATGATGAAGTTGGTGCAGACAAATGGGTGCTGGCAACAGGAGGGAGATGAAAGGAGACAGGTTGCCACTCAGATGAAGTGGGAATGGCCCCCTGATGAGGATGAAGTAGCACAAGGGCTGTCCATCCACAAGAGGGAGGGAAAGCAGTGCCAGAGAGCAGCAGCTCAATGTGGATGGAAAATGGCAGGGCAAATAAGGAGGAGACATAAGGTTGAGGAGGCTTCACCAAGCAGGAGCAGTGTTGTGTCACAGGGCCAGTGGGCCAGCATATGAAGGGTGCACCAAATTGACTGGTGGCAATTATGGTAATGTCAGGGTCAGCAGATCAATGTATGAAGGGGGCACCAAATTGATCAGCACCAAATCATTGGGAATCAACAAAGCTAATTGGGCTGGTAGCACATATGATTTATGAGATCAACCAAACTCTGGGTTCCAGGTTAATCTCATGAGGATTGATCAGGATCAGCTGGATCAGCATGCCTCAGCAAGTCAGCTGACATGAGCAAGTGTCAGGAGATTCAGGAAGGAAGATACCAGAATTAGAAGGAGAAGCATATGGAGGTAACCACATGTAGGAGTGGGGGACTGAGCTCAGCACCACAAAGACAGTTACCACTTGAGGGGTACATGCATATAGTCACACAGGCCCAAGCACAGGGGTGACCACATGACCAAGGGGTTTGGTCATGAGGTCCAACAAGTGGCTAAAGGGATTCACAAGATAAGGTTGGGAAGGTGGTTGCCAGTGAAGAGAGATGGAGCTGTGAATGGAGATTGGTTAAACAAAGAGGAGGAGCTGTGTCAAAGGGGTTGTCACACATCATCAGGCAGAAAGAGAGCATGAAGGTGAAAGGGCAGTGTTGCATAACCATTACACTGTGCAGATGGTAGGGGCACAGCATCAATGGGATTGATGCCAGCAGGAGAGACAGTGTCAAACAGGGGATGAAGGCCCCTCAGGAGGAGCAGGATAGGTGTTGCAGGTGACACCAATTGAAAGCATAAATACTCTCATTCTACCATAGCATATGAGTGGATCCTCATCCACTCTACTTACTATATACTTTACTCTTTACTTGACTCTTAGTTATGTATCATTGCAATAGCAGCGCTTTGCAATGACCCTCAAACATGTGTGTTGTATCACCATTAGGTGTCAACTGTAGGCAGTGTTCTCCAAACACTTGTGGTCCAGTCCTTCAACTGTAGGCAGTGTTCTCCAAACACTTGCAGTCCAGTTCTCAACTGTAGGCAGTGTTCTTCAACACTTGCAGTCCAGTCCCTTACTGTAGGTGGTGTTGCTTGACACCTGTGGTCCAGTCAGTTATTGTAGGTGGTGGCTCACACCTGCAGTCCAGTAACTCCCATCCTCTGTAGGTGATAAGTATATTGCAGTCCAGATGATGACCAAGAGCATTATCAACAGTACTGCAAACACTTGTACTGTAAGGAGAGGGTATCACTCACTCTCCAATGAACAGCAAACATGCTGCACAACCTCTGAATGGAGTGTTCAAGGTGGTCAGCCAAGACTTACCAGTCAGAGATGTCTGGTTACATTTAGTTGAAACATACCTAGTAGATCTTACTCAATCAATCCCATCTATACCAATTGAATAATACCCAAAACTAGTCTCTGGTGTGCGACTGCTTACATGTTGCAGGCAACACTGTGAGGATGGTATATAACCATGCTCCTCGTCATAGCCGATGAGTGGATCCCCATCCACTCTACACCATAAACTAGTTATCACTTCACATAAGTATACATTAGTTTCCAGTCAGCAAAGTCACAATCAAGTAGATTGCTTCCATTGTAGCACATGTGTTGTATCACCACTCACTGACATCTGAAGGTGGTTCAGAGCAAACCAGCAGTCCAGATAACAATAGAACCAAAGGCAGTCATCCACTGTGGTCTGGGGATCACCTCAAGTGCTCAGTCGACACACTGGACACTCATGTCAGCACCACCAGTAATCATACTCACACCAGATCTTGGTGTCAGTGCAAAGCTCATATAAGTTATTGATTGTGCTGAGCTACCTCTGGACAGAGTGTTGACAGTGGTCAGTTGAAACCTGCAATAGCAAACACACTACTACATCTTTGGGCAAGAAAAGTCATAGAGGCTTCTCTCCAACATACCTCAATAGAAATTGTAATACACCACATGTTACCACATATCTCAATAGGAATCATAATAGATGTGTTTCTATTACAGATATCAGGTTTTGGGTGTGTGACCTCTGACAACATACACTGTCATTTGCCAAGGCCCATACTGAGACGAGGTTTCTGCTTGCATCTGGGAGATAAAGTCCATTGTCTAGATGCACCTCACATGCATTAAGATTGATAGCAACCTCACCTTTGGCTACAATGCAAATCATTCTTCCACCAGCAGTCTTTGCAAAGCCAGTGTACACAGAATGGAGGGAAATGAGCAACTGATTGCCATTTGTAATGTGGTCAGTGGCAGCCAAGTCTACAATCCATGTATTGCATTGCTGATCTAAAGATGGCCAGTAGGCAGAAGTGACAGGACACCAGGCATCTTAGCTGGACATCTGCTTGCCACTGGCAGCAGCAGGAGGAATTGGTGCAGTTGGACATCTGAAGTTAGCTGTTAGGATTCTTGCAGCAGAATTGGCTATTATGATTCTCACCATGGCAATAGTAACACCTTTGTTGTTGGTCAGGGTCTGGCTTGGCCATGCAGTCAGTGGCCTGGTTCATGACCTGGCTACTGGCTTCTAGGGCTTGAGTAGTTTTGCCACTATCACTCCTATTGCTGGACTTGATAGACATGTCATCCTGTCATTTGAATAGGCCCACACATACAGCTTTGTAATCTCTTGCCTGCCCATTGTCTTGGAGATTTGTGATGCAGTTGTGGTATGCTGGTATGAATCTTGCCTGGTCAGTGACTCTCTTGATCTTGAGGACTGGCATCAGCTTGTGTCCCATCGACTCAGCCTTGGCCCAGCTGATCTTTGTCAGAGGCAAGCTTGCACATCTGCATTGAATATGCAAATCTTGCCAGCCTCATTAAAGAGGATCGACTCTGCAATCTGTTGCAATTTGGTGAGATCTTTCTTGAGTCAGCTATACAGTTCATGGAATCTCCAGGGCTCAGCCTTGGTGGGTTGCATGAATAGAAAGTTGATATTATCTTGACCCATAAGTTTGGCATGGCTTTGGATAATTGTGCAGAGTTTTCTGTCTAGCTTCTGGTCGAACTTGCTATTGCCCAGTTTGGTGATGCCATTGAGATGTTTGAGAGCCGGGGACCAGGTAGACAGGATGCTCTGTAGGCGAGGGTTCCAAGCATACCAGTCCTTTGTGGTTAGCTTAGCAGTCTCTTTTAATGCATCATTGATGTACAATAACTCTTGGTGCAAGGTACATTGGCAGGAGGGCTTTTTGTATGCTGAGATCTCAGCCTGTTTATGAAGCATGGACTCTATGAGCATGTTTCGTAGGCTGGTAATATTTAGTTTATTGATATCATTGAGGTCAAGTAAGGGTTTGTTCGTTTCCTTGTCAGAGCTGTCTGAATCGTCAGAGGAAGAGGTGCGATTGTCGTATGGCCAGGCCGAAAGATGGTTGTAAAACTATGGAGAAAAAGACAGGGACCATCTATCGACCGGCGTGCGGGTATACAGTGGCAACTGTGGTCAGCTGAGTCGATGCAGAGATGGTAGCACACTCACACATGCACAGCCACGCAAGATTGTCTTGGGAACGAGAGAAAGGGACTAGGAATCTATCTAATTGCAAATGCAACGCAGCGTCGTGAAGAAACAAGAGAGGTGTGTGTAGAAGAAGGCAGGTATCGAGGGCGACAGAGGCAACACGAGGACTTTGCAACGGAGCCAGAGACTGAGAAGCGAGGGCTGGTCTAGCGGTTGCTAAAGCGGAAGATCTTGGTGAACAGAATAGTCGCAGCGCAGTTGAAGACGATAAAGGCAATCATGATCCCGGCATCACGGCCTCTTTCGCTGAAACGGATGCCGAAGGCAGAGTAGAACTGTTCGCCACTGGAGTAGGTGCAGTACATGCAGTCGGCAGTGGCATCTGGGTTGGCCAAGTATCCTCCCATCTGGGCAATGTAGCTTCCAGCCCACTGAGCGCACGTTTGGCCAGATGGCGGGGAGAAGCGTGAGAATTCGTTGGCGGCGCATTGCACCTGCAATCCGTACAGCTCGTTGGCGATGAGCGGCGAGATGGTGAACCGAACCGGGTTGACATTGTACAGGAACTTGCTGTACAGGCCGCTCGACATGGACTGCGGTGGCGACAAGATACCGCATGTCAAGTTGAGGATGATCGTCAGGAAGGGAACAAAGAGCGAGGCAAAGTATGCGGATTTGGAGAACGAGGCGACCAAGGTTCCGATCGAGATGGCGAAAAGCTCCAAGAGGAAAGTCATGATCCAGAAGTACGCAGCTCGGCCCGAGTCTGTGTTGAAGCCAGCCAGGTAGTAGATCAAGACAAAGAAGACCGTACCGCAGACGAATGCATAAGGAACCTCGGAGATGAGCTGGGTAGCAGCGAAGACGGTACCTGCAAACGTCTTGCTCGTCTCTTCCCGAATCCAGATGGACCTCGACATGATCCAGAAGGGCATAATCTGCGCCATGATAATAGCGGGGATAATGGCCAGCATGAAGATAACGAAAAGACGGTACTGCAGCGAAGCGACATTGTTACCCAGCTGCAAGAACAGAAGACCGGTGAGCAGGGCAAAGGCGAGATGCTGGAAGAATCGAGTGTACTGGTACGAAGGTTGACGCCATGTGCTGAGCATCGTCCTCTTGAGCACCACTTGGAACTGGTGCGTCCAAGGCGCAGCGTACTCGGTAGTGCGCTGTTCTGGCTTTGGTTTGGCTGCACCTTGGCTGTTGATCTCTTGGATCACAGCAAGGTTGTCCTGGTGCATGTCTGATTCGAGGTACCAATCCGCCCAGTCGCGGTCGCCCACACGAGGCTGGCTACCAGCTCCGATCGCATCCAGCATGTATTCCGCAGGGTTGACACCAGGAGGACAGCGAGCTCCACGAGCAGCAAAGTACTCGATCACATGTTTGCCATCCTTACCAATGGGACCCGAGTAGACCGTCCTACCCCCGCGCTCGAGCAGGAGCAAGCGATCAAACGTCTCGAACAGCAAAGCCGAAGGCTGGTGAATGGTGCACAGAATCGTCTGACCGTTGTCGGCCAGTTTGCGAAGCAGACGGCAGATGGTGAATGCCGATTGTCCATCGAGACCCGAAGTGGGCTCGTCGAGGAAGAGAAGCATCGAAGGTTTCGCAGCAAGCTCAACACCGATCGTTACTCGCTTACGGTCGCCGACACCGAGGCCGAATTGAGGGTAGCCGATGATGGCGTCGGCAATGTCCTGCATTTCGAGCAACTCGATGATGTCTTCCACGTACTGGTCCTTTTCAGCCTTGGAGATCTCGTAACTCTGACGGAGGTAGGCTGAGAAGCGCAGAGCCTCGCGAACGCTGCACATGGGTTCGTGGATGTCTTGCTGCTCTGCATACCCGCACTGGCGCTGGAAAGAAACGTCGATGGATTTGCCTTCAATCAGACGCTCGCCCTGGATAACGCCAACGTTTTTACGGTCAGCAAGAACATCCAGCAAAGTCGTCTTACCGGCTCCCGAGGATCCCATCAAGGCAGTCATCGTCCCTGGTTTCACATATCCAAAGACTTTGTCAAGCAACTTGCGCTGCCCACCCTGGACGGGGACAGTGTATTCCAAGTTGGACCAAGTGAAAGCCTGGCCATACACCTCGAGCTTAGCCTCTGTCTTTTCGGTTGCACCGGAACGTCGGTCGATGAGTTTCTCGTTGAGTTGCTTCTCCTCTGTATTGGGAGGTTTCTTGACAACCATAGCCGAGGCAAAAGCGCCTTGGTCCATCCTTTCGACGACAAGCGCAGTGATGGCAACAAATCCAACAAGGAAAGCGATCAAGATGCCGACGTTACGCCACAGATGGCTCTCCTGGTAACCGAAGCTAGCAGTCAAGTAAGCAATCCCCGGAATCTGGTCGGAACCAGGAGTAGCACCGGCAAGCGTACAAATCTGGTTAACCGTCAACGAAGTAGGATAGCCCGCTCCCGAAGGCAAGATCTGTGCACCTTCGCAAGTGAACGTGACCCGCTTGAACTCGTTAATCATCAAAGCCTCGAAAGCGTAAAAGACGGGGTTGATGTAGGAGATCCAGAACAACCAGCGTCTCATAGCTGCTTGCGGAATCACATATCCAGCCCATAGAACGAGCATAGACATGACAATAGCTGCCAATCGAGCTGCCGAGTAGAAGTTGGTCGTGATCGAACCGAACAACGAGAAGAGCGCACGGAAGGCATAGTAAGAAATCAGAACAACAAACCAAGCGGTGAAGAAGGCCGATGCACTTCGATCAAGCCCTGCCATAAAGTAGAGGATGATGACAAAGAGCGTAGCTCGTGGAACACCAAACGGTAGATCCGCCAGCAGTTGAGCCAGGGTCAGTGCCGAGGGACGGTAGAAGGCGAAGCTGGTTTGACGTGCCAGGATGGGACGACCCATCATTTGGGTTGGCAGTTCAGCAAACGCAGTGAGAGAGTTGAAGAGTAGAAGGATGAAGAGACATCCACCACGAGTAAAGACACCTGCTGAGGTGGTGGGGAGGTTGAAAAAGATACCGCCTGTCAAAGCGGCGATGACGACGGCGGTGACGTAGGACATAAAGATGTCGAACTTGTCGCCAATGATCATCTGCATCTGACGCAACCAGAGCGCTTGAACCTGGGAGGCATAGGATACCGTATACTGCGACTTGGAACGGACACCACGATGTTTGGATTCCTTGACGGCTTGCCTGAAGTCCTGCGTAGCTTGAGCATCGGCTGTAGCGACAGCGTCGAATGCTTCTCTCTCCTCGACAGCCTGCTTGAAGTAAGGGCTGTTACGGTAGGCATCTTGCAAAGCCTCCGGATTGCTAGGGACCGTGTTCTCATCAAGACCATGTTGGAAGATACGTTCATACTTGTCAGTGCATCCAGTGATGTAATCAGCCGAAGTCTGACGAGGGCGATCTGCGAATCCAAGATTGATAAAGTACTGCCTAGCTTCGGTACGAGGGCCAAAGTAAACACACCGACCTTGATCGATAACAAGAACCTTGTCGAATTGCTCCCAGATACCCTCCGAGGCTTGGTAGAGCGAGACGAACATCGTAGCTTCCAGCAAGTCCGTGAGAACACGCATGCTCTTGACATAGTCGAGCGCAGTACTGGCATCAAGACCACGAGTGGAGTTATCCCAGGCCAAGACACTGGCACCGGAAGTAAGAGCTTCGAGGATAGAAACACGTTTGCGCTCACCGCCGGAAACACCACGGACAGTTGCGCTTCCGACAAGCGTGTGCTTGGTATGTTCGATATTGACCATCTTTAGAAAAGTATCGCGGATAAGTTTGCGGTAGGTTTTCTTGGTATGATCCGGAAGCATCTTTGCATGAGCCTTGAGACGCAGGGCAAAATCAATGGTGCGAGCGACGGTGAGAGTTGCATGATGCTGATCGTCTTCTTCAGAGTAGACCACTTCACCCATATATCGCTTGGCCATCTCGCGAGCATCGATAGCACCGTAGCGAACGTCGCCCTGTGTATCGATGAAACCACTACGCTTGTTAGCAATCGTTTTGAGGAAAGTCGAACAACCAGCATTGGGACGACCAATAACAAGTACCATCTCTCCAGGCTTTGCACAGCCGTTAAAACCCTGCAACAAATCCCTCGTCTTCTTCTTGGCCGGATCAACACCAAAGAGCTTCAAGATGGAAAAGATAGGACCAATGACTTCGAACAAAGCCATAGAAGGGATCGTGGGGACGTTAAGGTCCATGGATGCAGTACCGATAACACCTAGATGCTTCCAAGAAACCCCGAGTTTCTTACGCTTGTTTCCCATTGAGTCGGCTTGCTCTTGGGTTCCGGAGAGCCACTCGCGAAGGTCGAACTGCTGGTGTTTTTCCAGATCCGAGTTTTGCTCATCTTTCGAGGAAAGCTGACGGGAGAGATCGTTGAATTGACGTTCGGCATCGGCGACTGAGACATGACGGTCGCTACTCGTCTCGGCACTGCGAGTTGAGGAATTGGCAGCCGTGTGGTTGTGCGTGAGCTCCTCCTCACGCGGGGTGGTAGTGATGTCGGTGGCAACATATGCGTCGGCCATCTTGGTGGTCGTAGTGGTCCCCGAGAACCCTACTTGTTTTGGGAGGCTTTTGAGTGGGGGGGTGGGGGAGGGAGAAGTGGTGCTGATGTTCAAGGTGGGATGAGAGACAACCAAGGGACGAAGGTCTTGAGTGTTTTGGGATGACCAAGAGCTGGGCAACACTATATAGACTCTGGGCAGGCGAACGACAAGGGGAACAGCCCATCCCAGCAGGAGAGTGAAAAGACAGAGAAGCGGCTCAGTAAGTGCACAGGAAGGACGGCATCAGAGTAGTCGCCAAGTCGTTGCGCGCAGAACAACATCAACAACACAACACACAACGCAACACAACGATGCACACCCATCCAAACGTTCCCCTGGAAGCGCGATTTCTTCCGGAGGTCCACGGGGCAAAGGAAATAGAGTGGGCAGATCTGAAGAGAGATAGGCAAGTGGACTCCGAGCGGAAGGAAACTCCTCGGACATGGCTCTGGCGTTGGAAAGTTAGGCGGAGATGTAAGGCAAGCGAGCGACTGGAGCAGGGGATGCAAGAGAAGGCATGTGGTGCAGGTGCAGATGCTGATGCAGGTCAATACAGTCGCAGCACGATGCACCACGACACTACCAACGACATGTGTGTATGGGTGTGTGTGTGTGTGTGTTTTGCGTGTGTTGGCTGTTGGCCGTCGCTGACGTCGAGTCAGTTCTTGGCGGCTGTCCAATTTGGAAATCGTGTCATTATTTACCTTTTCCTTTTTCTTTTTCTTTTTCTTTTTCTTTTTTTTTTTTTTTTTTTTTTCTCGCGCCGAGTCGCCAAGCATAGGAGGAAAAAAGAAAAAAAACCAAAAAAAAAAACAACCGATTATTCTACTTCTCCATCGAATTGCTGGAGTGCGATGGCTATGTTACTCTGTCGCAAACGCATGCTTTTCGCTCAAGCCCACGGGATGACATCCGCTTGACCTTGGCTCCGTGGAGATCTGGGAAAGAAAAGAAAGAAAAGAGGCGCCAGCGCGGGCGGTCCACGATTTAGCCTGCATACATACCTCTCGCAAACCAATCAGCTCTCTTGGCCTGGCTGCTTGCTGCGAGGTGGGCAACGTTTCGACTGGCTCCTGAATGGGGCAAACTTGGAATCTCCGGTACCCGAGAGATCCTGGAACGGAAGCAGCTTTCCGGCGTCTCTCCGCGGACTTTCACTCCGATTTGCTCGTGTTTGCCAAAATGCGGCTGATCGGGTTAGTCAGATTGGTTGGAAATCGGCCCCGATTCAGAGCTCTTAAGCAAACACCGCGTCTCGTGACATTCGCATCATAGCATCGAGAGTGTCCATTTGTTCATTGTGGATAGCGGGTATCGTTACATGTCTCATCGTGTCTCTTGCTGCGGTGGTGCGGCTGCCGGCACCTCATCGCTAGTCCGTGGCCGACGGCCAAGTTGCTGCATAGGCACCGACAACCCGGCTTGCTGGTCATGTCCTCCTCCTCCCTCGGATCCAGCTGCCGCTCTGGCTCCTCGCGTCCGACTCAAGACTCCGAGCGCAGCCGATCTAAACCTTGTTCCACCAAATGCACCACTCGCACTCCTCTCCAAGCCAGACTGACCATGTTCGAGCTGCGATCCTTGAGAAAGATCCCTTCGCATCCCTCCATCTCGCTGGGGAGCCAAGCGTCCGAATTCGCTCGTCTGTGTTGCGCGTCGTCGATGCTCTGCTTCGTATCGACCCATGATGCTGCTCTGCAGGCCATGAGCGCCTCTTGTGCCTCCGTCTTGCTCGTCGTCTTCTTCATCAGGCTTGGCTTCTTCCAAGCCTTCAAGATGGCCAGATGCATCGCCTGACATGTTTCCCTTCTTACCTCGCTTGCTGGCTGCAAGTTTCTCTTTGAGCGAGAAACATCGTTCTTCCTCCAGTGCTTCTGCACGGAGAGCTGCCTTGAGAGTGACCGTCTTCGGTGCAGTGTTGCCGGACAAGCCACTAGCGCGGCTCATTGCACCGCAAGCATCGCGTCGCTGTGTCCTGCGTGAAGCGTTACGCTCCAGAGTTGCCCATGCCTCCCTTGCCTTCCTAGGAGTGACAAGTGACGTGGGATCACCAGCAGTGAGCGTCGCATCCGCATCTTGAGCCTCCTCCTCGTCGCCGTCGGCTTGATTCTTGTTGCCTCTGCGACCACTCGAGCTTCGCCGTGGAACGACAATGCTACCTTCTGCAACACTCGCAAGAGGCTCCGAGTCACCTGTCCCCGGACGATGCGAGGTCCGCATCGACGTCGGACTAAGTGGTGCGAGACTTGCATCTCCACTGCGCCAAGATCCATGCCAAGGCAGTTGCAGCAGTGATGGCCCAGCGTATCCTTGCCCTGAGGGACAAGACAAGCTGCTCGATCTCCTCAATAAGCTCGAAGGAGAATGCAAGGATGCGCCTGCCTCAGACCCGGCTCGCTCGGTACGACAAAGTGCTCGCTCGTATTCCTTCATCACGTTCTTGGGCACGCTTGCGGCTGGATCGGCAACTTGCTCGACCGCTTGCGTCTCTTCCAGGTGACGAGCGAGATGGTCAGGCAGTACAATCTCCTCGTTACCGTCCAAGATCATATCGTCTCGTCTGCCAAGGTTGGCTGCTTCTCCGCCTAGGGGAATGTCATCGTGCAAGCCGTGTTTCTCGTAGTTGCTAGCATCTTCGTCATCGTACTCCTCGTCACCTTGATCCTCGTCATCTTGATCCTCGTCCCATTCGCCTAGAACTCCTCCTCCGCCCTGTGAGCTGACGAGCGCAGATCCGTACCACTCGATCGTATCGAAAAGGTCCAAGGGCGCCAAAGGGTCACGTGGAAGCCAGAGGAAATCATCCATCTCTTGGTTATAGAAGGGATTGTTGTAGCGAGCAGAGTTGTTGGGCGTATCATCCCAACGAACGGGAGGATGAGGACGAACGAGCTGGCGAGCTTTGAGCGAGTCATCATGCTCGTACTCGTGGTACCAATGCTTGTCCGACTTGTCCCAGTCAGCGGGGTGCCAACGTCGAGCAGCTCCAGCTTGCGTCTCTTGCTGCTTTGCAGATGGAGAGCTTTGCTGATAGAGTGGATCGGTACTCGATGTGCCTTCGTCCGCAACGCGCATCTGGTAGTCGCCAGAATCCTGCTGCATCCCTTCTTCATCGGTGACGGTGGCCAGCTGGCTTGGCTTTCTTCGCAGAGTGCCATAGTGACGGCTAGATCGCCTCCTCGATCGTCGGCTGTGTTGACGCAGCAGATGGCCTTCTTCGTCGTGCTCCAGGAAAGGAGCATCACCATCCTCGAAGCTGAGATCGTAGTCATCCTCGCTAGGTAGAGGTGCGTGCGCAGCAACAGCGTCGAATGCGGACAAGAAGGGGCGACCTTCGCTTCTGGAACTGCCTCGACGGCGGTGGACGACATGCTCTCCTTTACCTTTGCGCATCGCCGACTTGTTCCTGTTGAGACCGGCGTTCGGGTCGTTCGGGTCGTTCGGGTCGTTCGGGACCTGGCCGTCCGCATGTTCGGCTTGTGCCTGGGTCTGAGCCTGAGCCTGAGCCTGAGCCTGAGCCTGAGCAGCTTCGTGCGAGTTGCGGTGAGAGTAAATGTGAACTTGACTGGTCGGAGGCAAGCCAGAGATATGCCTGCGTTCTGCCGAGCGGCGATCCCTACTCTGACGCGGAGAGTCATCAAGATTGTTGATGCCCGCTTTAGCAGCGTGTCGATAGTGGAAGGCGTGTTTGACAGTCTCTTTGACAATGTAGCGTGGAGTTTGAGCGATGGTCTTGGCGCCAAGGCCAACTGCACTGGTGGGCGCCTTGCCCTTGGCGTGGGCGGTGGCGAGATAACTTGGTTTGTCGAGACCGTTGGCGTTGAAGGAGTCGTGCAATCGCTGCCAAACGCGCTGGAAGGCAGAGTTGGTCTGCGGTGGTGGAACGACAGATGGATATCGTCCCGAAGCGAGTGCATCAAGTGGACCGCGGGAGTCGCTTCCTTCTTCTGCAGTGCTGGGACCGAGATCATGCCTCTGCATCTTTTCCCAGAGCGGACGCGAGTCGATACCACACAGAGCCTCGGCCTCTTGATCGTCGAGAGCGCGACACTGCGACTTCCACAATCGGGTAGCTATAAGCTTGGCGATGACGGTGAGCGGGATGAGTACCGCGCTCATACCGATGTATACCGAACCGCGACGGATGACTGAGAAGAAGATGAGCAAGACTGCTTGCATCACCACTATGGCGTCCAGGCTGTATCGTAGGAGTCGGGTGTAGTAGATGACACCTTGCATCTCGTTGAAGCGCCGGTAGTAGTGATAAGCAAAATTCTTCTTGAAGACGACTAGAGCGAGCGAGAGGTAGACAAGGGCAAATGGAATGACGAGCGGATTCAAGAGCGCAAAGATAAAGACGATGGCCATGATGTTGAGGTGGAGTGGCAACCAGTAGTATCTGTTGAAGTTGCGTGGCAGCGTCTTGATGGCTCGTGTTCTTGGAGTTGCTGCCTTGCTCGCCCCCCAGTGCTGGAGCAGTGCAATCATGAAACCCATGTGCTCGAAACCAGATTGCAAGGCCAACTGAAGGATCAAGTAAGATACGAAGAAAGGAGCAGCACTTGGGAAAGCAAAGGCGATGGTGTTAAGGATGCTGCCCGAGTTGCCGACCTTGGTGAGTACAGTGACGATGACGGTAGCACCAACACTGAAGAAGAGGACGACGTTGCAGATGACAAACTTCCAGTAGCGAGCAAGACACATGTCGTAGAGAGCGCTAAAGGTGACGAAACCCTGTGCACGCTTGCTGACCTGGAAGATGAGCTCGGGAATGGACATGGAAGCCAGCGAGACGAGCAAAGGTGGCAAAGTGACGGTGACGAATCCTGTGAGCTTGGGGTTATCATCGAAGAAGCTACCTAGACCGGGGATGGCTTTCAGCTTGTCGACACTGAAGACGGAGAGGACGATAAAGTTGATGATGATGACCCAGAAGATGGTGAAAGCCCAAGTGACAACGCTGACGCCAAAGCCACGGACGACGTCGCCGGTGAAGGAAGTCTTCATGAGACGATCCCAATCGAGATCTTTGACTTCGGGAGCCAGACGAACCTTGACGACGATCTGGTCTTTGAGTTCACGCCAGACCATACGCGCCTGTCGAGGATCGCGGAAGGTGACAAAGGCCGTCGAGGTTGGCTCATAGCTGGTAGGCGGTCTGGAACGCATCTCGGTGACCAAAGCAGTGAGCAAATTGAGCTTGGTGAGGAGATAGTCGATGGTGGGCACCGTCTGGCCGCGGAAGAGGGCTGAAAGCCTGATTGCTGGCTGGAATGGGTCAAGCAACTGTCGCGGTAGCTGGTTGAGAGCCTCCCAGACGGTCTCTGGCATTTCCTGTTGGTCTTTGCTGTCGATAGTTGAGATTGGCTGTGATTGCTTGTGATGAACGCCTGCGTTGGTAGGAGAGAAGGAAGCAAGTCGTCGCGCGAGCTCTTCCTCGAGCGCTTTGCCTGCAGTGTTGTTCTGTGCTGGACCAAGCTTCTCGATATCGGGATGGAGAGTCTCGGAGGGTGTCGAGTCGCCGGAAGTGGAGTGACTAGCAGCTTGTGCGTGTTTGGACGACTTGCTCTTGCCAAAGTGACGACGAAGCGAGGATGCAAGGTGCTTGAAGGTGGAGGAGGAGCGTTGTGCTTGAGGCTGCTTTTTGCGCATCTTCAGGGTGCGACGTCCGACAGTGACGAGGACTTGTTGCGCCAACTTGACGTGAGCAGCCTCGAGCTGGGTGAGCACTTGTTGTCGACGAGCGAGCATGGAAGCGAGTTGGTTCATCTTGCGGACGAGAACGACTGTCTGGATGGGACTTTTGAGGTAACGATCAGGGTGAAGGTCGGGTTGTGGGCCATCTGGGCCATCGCTGTGGGATGAGAAGCGAGCGGGTGGGGCGGAAGGATGTTCTAGTGACGAGGAATGTCGATCCGAGTCCGAGGCTGATGTGTGTTGTGCATCGAGATGACGTGTGTCGCGAGGAGAGCGTGGTGATGGAGGGTAGCGATAGGCTGCACCGTTGTTGTCGTGACTTGCTTGAGAGGAGGCGTCATCATCATCCTCGTCCGGGCGCAGGAACTCTTCAAAATAGCGACGAATGCTGGCTTCGTCGCGCATGGTGCCGGGCAAATTCATGACCATGAGTGTCCTTTGACGCCAGCCGTCGCTGTTGTCGGATGCTGCAATGCCTTGTACAGTCGATAGAGCCTGCTGTGGGTCGCGGTGGAGGGGCGGTGCGGCGGGGGCGGGATCGGGATCGGATTGAGATGTGGCGTTGTTGGCAGCGTGGCGTGCTTGCTCCTGCTTGTGCTTGATGACTTTTGTGCGAGTCTTGTCGATCTGAGCTCTGCGAAGACGAAGAGAGCCTCTGCCGATCCACCAAAGGGCTAAGATCCATGTGATGGTGAGGTACCATAGCAAGGACAAGTGAATCCAGAGGAGGGAGCGGCCTTGCTCGTTGGCGATGGGTTCACACTTTTCGAGGTTCTGGTTGTCGCAACCAGGCGCAGGTGTGCTGACGAGATAAGAGAGTGAAGCTCTTGACATGTCGGTAGCTTCGACTCCACGGCTGAAGGTGATGTGGATGGCGAGGAGGATGGGAGCGGTGGTGAGGGACTGAAGGAGGACCCAGTAGAGACATGCGCGGAGGAAGCGCACATAGACGACGGTGTCCATACCAGTATGATCTGCATACCATTCGTCGGTGAAGGAGATGGCCTGTGCGACCCAAGCGAATGGCCATCTAGGTAATGGTGGAGATGGTGTGGATGCATGAAAGATGCGCGAGAGGTAAAAGTGACCCATCTCCCAGTCTTCGCAGGTATCTTTGCGCCGAGTATGTGCGGGATTGTCGTCGACGACGCCGCCGGGAGCATCACGTTTCTCGCCATGCTTACGCCAGAACTTGGAGATCCGAGTGCGGGGAAGACGCCTGACTTGACGGAGCGACTCGTAGGTGACGACGGATAGACTTGCAACGACAGCAAAGATGACACAGGTGGTTACCAAGCCCTGAAAGCTGGTATTGACCCGCTTCGAGGTGAAGTCGGCCATCTGGACTGTTGCGGTCCGAGTCGGCAAGATGGGAGTGATGCAAGATGGGAGTGATGCGAGCGACCGAGATGGAGGCAGTGCTTGAGATCCACTGACTTAACGACAAAGCATTTCGGCGGTGGTGATGGGTTGGCGATGGGTTGGCAATCGTTGGCGATGCTTGGCGATGAAAAAGGATAGAATGGCTGAGTCGCTGCTTACCTCAGCTCTGCTTAGCTCAGCTCAGCGCCAACACTGTGACAAGTCGGAGGGATCCGAAGAACGATTGCGTGATCTTGCAAATTCAAATGATCATCGGCCTGTCTTTGCCCGATCGTCCGTCGATGCTGATGTGAGGAGAGAGAGAGAGAGAGAAAAAGGAGAAGCGACGGTGATGGATGGATGATGGATGGATGACAGACAGCTTTGGCTACGAATTCTACGTGGGGATGAGGGCCGATTCTGGAAGCTTGCTTGTGTGTTGTTGTCCAACAGCGGTGGGGTTTGCAGATAAGCATCGCCGATCGCTGATGGGAATCGCCGATCGCTGTTAGGTCGTTCCGTTGTGATTTCGAACCAAAGTGTTGGTCTCTCTTTTTGCATCGAGAGAGACGCGTATCTCGTGCGAGACAAGGCATCGATCGGCTTGAATTGCAGCCCGATTTGCTCTCCAACACACGGCCAGGTCTCGAACGGTAGAGAAATTGCAGTTTGTGTGTTTTTTTTTTTTTTTTTTTTTTTTTTTTTTTTTTTTTTTTTTTTTTTTCGAATTCTCCGCTTCTGTCTACCCGATCCACAGCATTATCAGTTGAAGTCATTTGTCAGTAGTTGGAGTTGAGGCGTTTTTGTTGATGATGATAAGAGAGAGAGAGCGAGAGAGCGAGGAGTCTTTATATATACAAAAGAAGAGCGGCAGAGAGCCGCATTGACTGTGGAACATAACAAAGCATTTGTCTTGAGTAGGTTGTGACACATGTGGTCCGTGCTAAGATGCTCAGGCCTTTTACTCGGCCGTAAGCACTACCTTCACTGTCTCTATGCTTTGTGTAACTTTATCTACTTCAACTCCCCCCCTCAACAGTATATGTACCCTGTTCATTATGCTGTTATTTCAAGGTGTGACCTCCGTTCTTCAACACTGTCGCATAGCTCGGGGACCCCGTTTTGTACACTGCTGCTGGTATTTGCAGGTGTAGCCCAGATCTTGCTTGCTGCATTGCCTGTCTCCCAATGGGCTTTGTGAGTATGTCTGCCAAGTTTCTTGTGGTGTCTACATACTTGATCTGCACCCTTCCCTCTTGGACGTTGTTACAGACGAAGTGATACTTGGTGTCAATGTGCTTAAGCTTCCAGTGCTGTGCTGGGTCCTTACTAACCTGTATGCAACCAGTGTTGTCTGAGTAGACCGTTGGTGTGCCTGTGGCAATGCCAATTGAGCGTAGCAGCTGCTTGAGGAAGAGCACCTCACATGTTGCTTCTGTGGCTGCAATGAACTCTGCCTCAACAGCGGACAATGACACGCATTTTTGTGTCACTGACTTCCAGGCTACTGGATTCCCGTACACTAACGCCACTGACCCCGATGTACTCCTTCTCTGTATGGTGGCATCGCTCGCCCAGTTTGCATTGCTGTGCGCGACCAGTGGCTCTTGCGACTCACTTGCCCTATAAACCAATCCAACCTGCCTTGTGCTTTCGAGGTAGCGTAAGACCCTTTGTGCTGCCTGATAATGCTCCTGTGATGGTTCACGCATGTACCTAGCGAGAACACCCATGGTAAGGCTAAGGTCGGGCCAGGTGCTGTTGGCAACCCAGAGCAGCTTGCCAACAATCACCAGATACTCCTTCTGTTGTGCTGCACTTGCGACAAGGGTTCCCTCCGGTATGCTCTGCATTGGAACCATGGTCGGCTTCGTACATTTGTCCAGGTGCTTTGCCAGCACTTGGTCAATGTACCCTGACTGACCAATCATCATGGTGCGCATCACATGGTCTCGACTGATTTTGATGCCCAGGAAGTGAGAGACCTCACCGCTATCTTCCATCTTCCATCTCTGACCAATCTGCTTCTTAACCTTTAGGACCGTTTCCAGCCGTGGTGCTATGACTAGTGTATCATCGACGTAGATGACCACAATGGCCATATCTTCACCCTGTCCCTTGGTGTAGATGCAGGGAGCGCACTCTACCTGGAAGAATCCCATGCATCACAAAGACCTGTCGAACTCCTGATTCCATTCTCGCCCAGACTGCTTTAGGCCATATAGACCCTTGACTACCTTGTACACCTTGCTGGGTGCTACTCCTGATCCTTCTGGCAGCTTCATGTAGATTGCTTCCTTTAACGTGGAGTTCAAGTAAGCCATAGTGATGTCCAGAGCATGTACCTCCCAGTTGTTCTGCACTGCTAGTGCTAAGATGGCTCTGATCGCTCCGAGGGGTGCTACTGGAGAGAAGGTTTCTTGGTAGTCGATCCCCTCTCTCTGTGTGAAGCCCCTTGCAACCAGTCGTGCCTTGTGCTTAACAGGTACACCATCAGCATCAAGCTTCAGCCAAAGCACAACCTTAGAGTCCACAAGTGGTACTCCTGATGGTTGGTGCACCACCTCCCAAGTCCCCATTGCCTCAAGTCCTTCTAGCTCCTTTCGTATTGCCTCCTTCCAGAGCTGGGCGTCCTCACCATTCATTGCTTCCCCAAGTGTTGGGTCCAGGTTCAGTATTGCTGTGTTGGCGGTGCCTACTGTGCTGTCTACGGCTGGTAGGAGATCCTCCACTGTGGCCTCTGATTTGGTCTCCTCCTCCACTATGGCTGGCGTGACACCCTCCTCCTTGACCTCCGCTGTCACCACGGGCCTGACTGCCTCTTGTTGGTGATCACTCCATCCTTTGTCCTCATGGAATGTTGCTGAGTTGCTCCATTGAATTGACGCAGGCTGGTCCAGGTTGCAAAACTTCCATGCTTTGTGTTCGTCGTCATACCCAATCATGATGGCTGGCTTTGCTCTAGCCCCGTACTTGCCTTGCTGGTCCTTCTGTTGAACATGAACCCATGCCAAGCATCCGAAGACTTGCAGCTGCTGGGCCAGCTTGTGCGCGGTGGTTCCATAAAAGGCCTTGTGGGGGATGGTTTTGGTGGCTGATGGGGTAAGGTTCATCACGTGTGCTGCTGCTGTGATTGCATACGGCCACAACTCTCTGGGGCAAGCTCGACCAATCAGCATCGAGCGCATCTTTTCTTGGACCGACCTGATTGCTCTCTCCGCCTGTCCATTTTGGACGCTGATCCCCGGGACGCTCTTTTGCCACTTGAAACCCTCTTGAGTTTGCCAGTCTTCGGCTGCTATGCTGCACCATTCTCCTCCATTGTCGCTGTGGAGTGTTTTGAGTTTCCTGTCCATTGCCTGTTCCATCCTGGCTATCCACCTCCTCAGCGCCGTGAGTGCAGCACTCTTTGTGCAGAGTGGTTCCATGTAGATCAGAGAGGAGAAGTCGTCCACAGCAACTAGTGCGTAGTGGTAGTTGGCATGTCCTTTGAGATCTGTCATCAGGTCTACGTGTACCAGCTCTAATGGTGCCTCCATTCTTTCTGACTCTGATTGGCCCATCCGTGCTCAAGTCTGTTTTCCTTGGCTGCATGCATTACAGTGCTTCGACTCATGTTCCATTTCCTCATCGGTACCTAGGTAATGAGCCCGGATTTGTCTCGTTTTGTCTCGTCCTGGGTGTCCGAACCTCTCATGCCATAGGTAGCTGTCTTGATGCTTCGTGTCCTTATTGCCCTCTGGGGCATTATCTAGTTTTCCTGTGTTCTGGTTGCCCTCTGGGATGTCGTCGAGTGTCTCTTCCAACTCCAGGGCTAGTGCCTTTCCCTGTACTTCGAACCACCCTTTTCTTCTGTTCCTCTTGTATTGTATTTGTGTGCTGTCATTTTGCTTAATGATGGTTCCAAACTCATCGAAAGTTACCCGTGCACCATTCTCGATCAAGCCTTGTACTGATAATAAATTAGAATTAAGTTTCGGCATGTAGAGCACATCCAATAGCTGGATGGTTACATCGCCAACCCGAAGGGAGGCGTCTCCTATGGCCTTCACTTGAAGCCTTTCATTTCCAGCCATACAGATCTGACCGTCCTTGTGCATCGAGGTGAGCAGCATTCTTTCATCATTCACCATGTGGTGCATCGCACCCGAATCAACGATCCAGGTGTCCGATGTTGGTTGCTCATCCCCACTGATCGCTAGGAGGGTGCACCCGAGTTCCTACCGACTCGCTTCTTGTGCTGGATTGGTGGTGGGTCCGTCCCTACTCGGTGCGGGGTTATTGTTGGTGTTTGTGCAGTTCCAAGCAATGTGATTAGGTCCTCCACAAGCATAGCACTTTGGGGGGGCCGAGGGGTTGCAAGGATCGTGCCTGCCCCTGGGTCCTTGCTCTGCCTGGTTGGTGCTCCCCTGTTCCGTGCTTGTGGCAACCCTTGCTGCTCCTCTAATATGGCCAGTGACCTCACCATCCTGCTGTTTCTTGGCGAGTGCATGGTAGGCTTCATCATACTTACAGTCTGGTCTGGCCATCTTCAGTGCATCGATGGCATTGGCATAGAACCAATCTTGGGCTGTGCAGTGATAGAGAGTTGATTTCTTGAGGTCCTTGTCGAAATGCTTTCCCAGGCGTGCTGCGTCGTTCCAGATCAAATCGAGTTCCTTGCCTAGCCTGACAATGTCTCGATTGTGCAAGCGCACTGTGTGAATACAATCCTGCAGTCCTGCTCGCTTTACAGCGTTGTTCAGTGTTAGTGCCTTCTTGAGTTTGGCATAGAGTGTGCTGCCGAGCTGGACTTCTTCATCCGCTCCCCTGATGGTGTAGGTGTCGATACGGCTGTCTGGACTGTTGTCGCAGCAGGCATGGATGAGACCCACGAGGGCTTTATCCAAGTCTTCATCATATTCCTCATTTCCAGGCGCCACCGTGCCATACAGTATCTCCTTCGCATTATGTACTCTTTGGAGGCAGTCGATGAAGGTAGGTTCCCAAGTGTGCCAGTTGCTGTTGCTGAGCTTTTTGATGTGCGCAATGGCGCTCGACACCTCCTTGGGGATCTTCTCAGTCTCCCTGCATGGGGTCTGGTTGCTAATGCTGATGAGGCCCATAGCTCGCACAATTGCTTCCTTGGCCATTAGTGCTGGGTTCACCAGCTGGAGGATCCTGACTACCTGCGTGAGCCATCCTTCCTCCTGTCCATTGCTTGTGGTTGCTTGATCATCATCGCCCCTTCCCGTCTGTCCAGCTCTTGTCGATGGCGGCATTGCGTTGAGTATCAGACTCTTAATCAGTTGAAGTCATTTGTCAGTAGTTGGAGTTGAGGCATTTTTGTTGATGATGATAAGAGAGAGAGAGCGAGAGAGCGAGGAGTCTTTATATATACAAAAGAAGAGCGGCAGAGAGCCGCATTGACTGCGGAACATAACAAAGCATTTGTCTTGAGTAGGTTGTGACACATGTGGTCTGTGCTAAGATGCTCAGGCCTTTTACTCGGCCGTAAGCACTACCTTCACTGTCTCTACGCTTTGTGTAACTTTATCTACTTCAACTTTATCGACAGTGAGAAAACCACAAAAAAAAAAGGAGCGAATAAAATCGAAATAAATGAATCAAAATTCGAGTGGCGAAGGGTGAAAAGTCTTCCTTTACTACCACCAACTCCCATCGACTTGTATCCTATCAACTCGACTCTCGCGTTCTTGCCCCTCTTCTAGGCGCAAACTCCGCTTGTCTGATCCTTTCGTATCTCCAACAGATCGAAAGTCGGGCTACCCTTTCCCCTCTCACACAAACCTCTCACGTCTCCTTTTTTTTTTCTTTTTTTTTTCTTTTTTCTTTTTTCTTTTTCCCCCTCGTTTCAACTGCATCAACGTAGGCTGCTACTCATCTGCTCACCATGAGACCTCAAGCCATCTTGCCAGACGCACTCTCCGCTGTGGGTGAGACGCCGCTCATTCAACTGAACCGGATCCCACAGGCAGAGGGCATCAAGTGCAAGGTGATGGTCAAGTGCGAGTACTTTAACGCTGGTGGAAGTGTCAAGGACCGTATCGCTCGTCGTATGCTTCTGCAAGCTGAACAGGATGGGACACTCATTCCTGGCAAGTCGATCGTCATCGAGCCTACCAGCGGTAACACGGGTATCGGACTTGCTCTTGCCTGCGCGATTCGAGGATACCGTTGCATCATTGTTCTCCCCGAGAAGATGTCGGCCGAAAAGGTCAACACTCTTCGTGCTCTTGGCGCCCAAGTTATCCGCACTCCCACCGAGGCTGCCCACGATGATCCTCGTTCCAACATTATGGTCGCCCGTCGCCTTCAGAAGAACATGCCGGACGCTGTGATCCTGGACCAGTACAACAACCCTCACAACCCGGCTGCTCACTGGGCTACTGCTGAAGAGATCATCGAGGCTATCAAGAGCGGACCTGCTCCTCCTTCCTCCACCTCGCTTCTCCACCGCATGCCCCATCTTTCGCTCTCGGCCGACAAGAAGGGCGAGTCGATCGATTCGGCTTGCGCTCGCCCTCTCACCCCTGACTCGAACCGCGGTGCTGACGAGCCGAATGGCTCCACTCAGACCTACTCGGACAAGGTCGACGTCCTCGTTGCTGGTGTTGGCACTGGTGGAACGATCAGCGGTATTGCATCGCGCCTCAAGCGTCCTGACCACAACCCTAACTGCTTCGTTCTTGGCGTTGACCCTGTCGGATCGACTCTGGCCTTGCCTGCCTCGCTCAATGATCTGCCCGAAGGTAGCGACGGATCGTACAAGGTGGAGGGGATCGGTTACGACTTTGACCCCAACACGCTTAACAAGAACGTCATTGACCAGTGGACGAAAAGCGAGGACGAGCAGAGTTTCGCCTACGCGCGCCGTTTGATCCGGGATGAAGGTATCTTGGCTGGCGGCTCTTCGGGTGCTGCTGTCAGTGCCGCTATCAACTGGCTTAAGCCCGGTGGCGCTGGTTATGACAAGTTCGGTTGCAAAGCTGGACTCAACGTTGTCATCGTTTTGCCGGACAGCTTGCGAAATTACATCAGCAAGCCTTGGTTGGTCTCGGATGCCAAGCCGGAAGGTCGGGAGGCCGAGATTGACTATGACAAGTTGCAGTAGATTAGTTGCTTGCTTGCTTTTGCTTGCTTTTGCTTGCTTCCAACTCGGTTTCGGTTTTTCTCTTTCCGATTACCAAGTTGGGTCAGCTTGAATGATCTGCTGGCCGTATACCTGAACGGGGATGGGAGATGGAGTAACAGAGGGGGTCGGACCTCTGTTCTTGCAATAGCCATGCGATGCTCTTTTCATCCCCCTTCGCCCACACCTGTTGCATACCCGCTTGGCTTGCTTTCTATCTTGCTATCAAGGCTGATGCAAGTCTTCCGTTTGATCTTTTCCACTCGCTTTTTCTTTTACTCGTTGCTCTACTGTGCTTGGTGCAGGTACTTGCATACCTTTTTCGCTCTTTTCCTCGTTCTTTTCCTCGCCCTCTGACACTCTGACACTCTCGCATCAGTCGTCGCTTTCAACACTGCACTCCTGATATCTGTTTGGAAGCTGCTTGCATCGTTCGCTACACTCGCATCTGTACGACTCCGACATGTTGGAATACTATGGCCGCCAGCCAATTGCTTTTTCTCGTTGCTGAGGCTGAACAATCTCGTGTGGACGCAGATATGGACGCAGGGAGAGTGTCTGGTGAGCAATGACTACGATGGCAGCGCGGCTACAGACAGGGCCCTCTCTGGCCAGCACTTCTAGAACGATCCTGATGACTCAGCCTTGGGCGAGTCCGAGTGATTACAAGGAGGACAAGTGTATGATCACATGTGATATTCACACACTCACTCCCTCACTCCCTCACTCGCTCACACGCTCACACGCTCACACGCTCACTCGGGTCTTATCTCTGACTCTCTTCCGGCCGTGTGATGTGATGTGTGACTTGATGATTGCCCGCTCTAACCGCTCAACTGCGCTTCGTCTTGGCGGTGATAGATAGACTGATCCGATGCCCCTTCCAGCAAGCTCGTCAAGTGACTGTTCGTTTAGTGTTCAACTCGTTAAAGGCACACTCCCTGTGATCATAGGCAGTGGCAATTTAGCAGGCACTTGCCCACTCTTGCCTTTCCCTGCATTTCTGCCATAGAGCGCTTTCTTATCTCTCCGCCACCGACACCCTCTTCTCCTCCTCCTTTCTCCTCCTCCTCCTTGCTTCTCCTCCTCCTTCTCTTCCTACGACCAAGCACCATCAGCAAGCACCGCGCGGCCCAAGATGAACAAGCAGACACGGAGCTCGCTCATTCCCATAAAACGCCGGCTGCTAAACACCCCACCCAACCCAAACCTCAATCTTTCCTCTATTAGGCTTGACACAATCGATTGCTCGATCGATCAGTCCTTGACGACATCAACATCCCTTCGATCCGTTCGATCTGTTTGATCCGTTCGATCCGTTCGACCCGTTCGATCCCTCGCATATCTTCATTTCGGCGTACCCACACTTGGAGCGACGCTTTTTTTGGCAGCGAGGCCTTGCTAGCGCTCCTCTTATATACATATAACCGAAACTGTTCGCCCCTACACGCTCACAGAGATATGGATCGCAAGAAAGAGGTGTACGATGACCCATCCAAACCCAACTCGGCTGTCTTAGAATACCAACATCCCTTGTCCTCCACCACTGACGCCCTCGATCAGGCTGACCTCAACGTGGTGCCTCGCAAGCATTTCAGCACTCTCGCCCTCATCGGCCTCTCCTTTGCCATCCTGAACTCATGGACTGCTGCATGTGCTGCCATTAATCTCGCACTTGGCGCCGGTGGGCCCGTCGGCGTCGTCTATGGTCTTCTCGTCGGTACTCTCTGTGCTTCCACAATTGCTCTTTCCCTCGCAGAGCTTTGCCATGTCTTTCCTTCCACCGGTGGTCAGTATCATTGGGCCTATGCTATGACTCCCAAAGCCCACCGTCCTCTTGTCGCCTACTATGCCGGTTGGATCGGCGCCACTGGCTGGATCGCTCTTGCTTGCTCAGCGCCACTCTATGCAGGAAGCACTGTCGTCGGCATCATCAGCATCTACCACCCAACCTATCCCCCACCCATTGCTCTCACTTTCGCCGTGTATGTGCTGCTCACCATCTATTGCGCACTTGTCAACATGTTTGGTGTCAAGCTTCTGGATCGAATAAACCAGTTGGCGCTTATGTGGTCCCTCTTTGGTGCCGTCGGCGTCTTTGTCACCTGTCTCGCTGTACCCTCGGCACAAGCTCACAGATCCAGTGCCAGCTTCGTTTTCACCGAGTTTGTCAACCTCACTGGCTGGCCTGATGGTATCGCATGGATGATCGGTCTCATTCAGGCTCAGTACTGTCTTGTCGGTGCAGATGGTGCTTCTCACGTCATCGACGAGATCGAGCGGCCTCACATCAACGCTCCCAAAGCTATGGTCCTCTCTTGCCTCATCGGCGGCACTTCGGCTTTCCTTGTGCTCATCGCCGTCCTTTCGGGAATCAGCAGCATCGAAAATGTCATCGCAGCCGGTGCAGCGGGAATCGTAGAAGCATTCATGCAAGCCACTCAGAACAAAGCGGGCACTCTGTCTCTCAACATCATCCTCTTTGGCACCATCTTCTTTGCCGGACCTGCTCTCATGCTTACCTCGAGTCGAATGGTTCAAGCGTACGCCAACGACGGTTGTTTGCCCTTGTTGCAGAAGAAGCTTGCCTACATCTCGCCTAGATGGCAAGTGCCGATCTATGCCATCTTGTTCTGCTCTGCTATCTATGTCGTTTTTGGCCTCATCCTCTTTGGCTCGGTGATCGCCGTTCAGGCAATCGTTAGTGCCTCGGTTGTCATGCTTCAGCTATCTTATCTTGTACCCATCGCTGGTATGCTCTTTGGTGGGAGGAAGAGGATCTTTGGCACATGTGCTGCAGACAAGGAGAACAATGAGGAACATGACGACGTTGCCATTCCTAGCGATATCAAGTATACTTTGGGACCGCTCATGGGTCCCATCATCAACACTGCAGCGCTTTGCTACATTGTCCTCACGACCGTGTTGTTCCTGATGCCATCCTACATTCCTGTTAGTTCGGGTTGCTATATGAACTGGTCCCTTGTTGTCGTAGCCACGACGCTTCTGTTGGCCACGATCAACTGGTTTGCATTTGCAAGGAAGCACTATACCGGACCGAAGCATTTTAAACAAATTCTCCAAAGGGCCCACTGGAGGCGAGCCGAGTAACGTCCGCATCCCCTGCACTGCTTCACATTTTCAGCCTCAGTGTAATCTTCTCGCTTTGTTTGCTTCTATACCAGCTGTAAATTTGCCGCTCCAATGCCAAGCTTTATTTCTTTCCAACGCCCCCCTTCCTGGACAGGGTGTAGTGATACAACACACACGCTTTGTTAGAAACAAACACCTGCAATTGCAACTGTTATCATCGAACCGCTCTGCGCTTTTCATCATGCATAGTCGTAAAACTAGTCAAGCAGTCTTTTTCTCGTCGGCCTCACACGGTCTGCGCCGAAGACGCGACATGGATCAGTGTCGCAGGTGACACTGCACAAACACATACACTTTCATTCTATCATAGCATACAAGTGGATCCCCATCTACTCTATCTACTACTTAATGCACTCTTTGCTTGTTTCCATACCCTTGCAATTGCAGAGCATTGCAAGAGATCTCCAGCACATGTGTTGTATCACCCTTGGCTCATCAACTGTAGGCAGTGTATCCACTGTGGTCCAGTGATCCTCCAAAGGCAGTGCTCTCCACTGCAGTCTGGTTCAAACTCCAGCCATAGGCAATACCTTATTGCAGTCCAGGCATCATTGCATTGTCGAGCAATTGGCAAGCAATACAAATGCTTGTGCTTCTGCTGATGTCAATGTCTCACTCCTGTCACAATATAGCAAGATCATCCTCATCCATTGACATGCCACATAGCCTCTGAATGAAACATTCAAGGTGGTTAGTTGAGACCTACTCTTACTCATCTTTATGGCATATCCCATGGAGATACAATGTAAAGAAATGTTTCTGCACTTCTCATGGAAACCTGTCATATCAGATTTCTACAGCAGATTCAACACAAGGGAACATTATCACACCTGCTCCTCATGTTCCTTGCCTCCGAGCTAGAGTGAGGGTGACCCCATTATGTCCTAGGGGTCTCACCCACTCCATCTGAGTGCTGGGACCCCTTGTGTCCATCATTCCATCAAGGTCCTCTCATTCTTCATTGCTGGAGCAACAACCCTCCTCCACCAACTTCATTGTGTGTAGTGATCTCCCCCACTTCTTCTGAGAGGCAGGCTCCTACTCTCCAGATCTTCTCTTGGTGGTTGTCTGTGGGCTCAACTGCATGATCCTCCTTTTGTTAGTTCCAGTGGGCTCTGCCAGAAACCCATGTTTTGCTCAATTCTGCTGAGACCTGTCAGAGTCTTGCAACTCGGCCAGTTTCATCTCTTTGTGTGCCCTGCACATCCACTGCAGGTCCTGGATCTTCTGCACCAATCTCAGATCTGAGGTCTTCTGCACAGGTCCCATGACATCCTGCTCCTTGTCCTCGGGTGTGACCAAATGCGACTTCATCATTGCTTAGGGGTCTTTCCCACTTCATTTGTGTGGTAACCTCTCTTCCTCCTTCTGCTCCTCTGAAGTCCTTACTCATCATCAAGGGTAGTGGACCTATCCACCTATGCTGACTTCATCCTCCCACTTCATCCCAGTGGTGGGACCTTCTCTTGTGTACCTCTTTGTGCAAGTCGCTCCCACTTGCCCAATGTCTTGGTACCTTCCAAGATGATCTAGAGTATTGAATGTGTGGGCCCTTTCTGTCTGATCCCAGTGAGCTCTATCTGAACACCACAACTTGGTCAAGTCCAGCGAAATCTGTTGTAGACCTGCAACTCGACCGGTTTTGTATTTGTCACAGGGTCAGCAGATCAGTGTATGAAGTGTGTGCCAAATTGATCTGCAGCAATCATCAGGAATTGACAATCTAATCAGGTTGGTAGCACATATGACTTGCAAGATCAACCAAACTCTGGGATCCTGGTTAATCTCACAAGGATTGATCAGAATCAGCCTGATTGGCATGTCTCAGCAAGTCGGCTGTCACAAGCAAGCATTGGGAGATTCAGGAAGGAGGATACCAGCATTAAAAGGAGAAGCATATGGGAGATAACCACATGCAGGAGTGGGGACCAAGCTCAGCATCACACAGATGGTTACCACTCAAGGGGTACATGCATACAGCCACATAGGACTGAGCACAGGGGTGACCACATGATCAAGGGGGCTTGGCAACAGGGCTTGACAGGTGGTTAAGGGATTCACAAGATAAGGTCAAGAAGGTAGTTGCCAGTGAAGAAAGAAGGAGCTGTGTCAAGTAGACTGGGGATTGTCTATGAGGAGGAGGAGCTGTGTCAAAGGGGTCAACACACATCACCAGGCAAAGAAGAGCATGGAGGCAAAGGGGCAGTATTGCACAAACCAATACACTGTGCAAGCAGTAGAGGTGCAGCATCAAAGGGATTGACACCAGCAGGAGAGAGTGTGTCGAGAGGAGGCAAAGGCCTCTCAGGAGGAGTAGGAGAGGTGTCACAGGTGATACCAAGCAAATGCATAAATACTCTCATTCTACCATAGCATACAAGTGGATCCTCATCCACTCTACTCTATACTTTACATACTCTTTACTTGACTCATAGTTACATATCATTGCAATAGCAGAGCTTTGCAACAACACCTCAAACATGTGTGTTGTATCACTGTTAGGCATCAACTGTAGGTGGTGTTCCTCAACACCTGCAGTCCAGTTCCTTACTGTAGGTGGTGTTCCTCAACACCTGCAGTCCAGTTCCTTACTGTAGGTGGTGTTCCTCAACACCTGTGGTCCAGTCCCTTGCTGTAGGTGGTGTTTGCTCAACATCTGCAGTCCAGTCAGTTATTGAAGGTGGTGTCCAACACCTGTGGTCCAGTAACTCCCATCCTCTGTAGGCGATAAGCATATCACAGTCCAGACAATGTTAGAAAGCATTAGTAACAGTACTATGAACACTTGTACTGTAAAGGGGAGTGTATTACTCTCCCTCCAGAGAATAACAGATGTGCTGTGCAACCACTGAACAGAGTGTTCAAGGCAGTCAGCTGAGACCTACCAGTATGAAGCCATCTGGTTACACTTAGTTGAAACATACCAAGTAGATCTTACTCAATTGATCCCACTGATACCAATTGGAAACACCCAACCTGGTTTCAGGCGCACAACCGCTTACAGTATTCTCGTGCACGCTACACATTCGATGCAGGTCATATCTACTGCAGGGCCAAGATCTTCTGCACCACCTCTACAACAACGGACACTCGTGTCGAGACAGACGCCATTGCACAATATGCTACAGCAAGTCACTTAGGTCTTTGATTGTGCTGCGCTACCACTGGATGGAGTGTTCACAGCAGATAGTTGGAACTTGCTCATAACCCGCATCATCATCTATTCCAACAAAACCGTTTGTAGAGAGCTCATACAAGAGGTTTCAACAAGACCGATCTTAATCGACCTTTAACGCAGGTTTGGGATCCAGGCACGTGACCGCTTACACAGGGTTGCAGGCGACACTGCACAAATGTATATATCCTTTCACTTCACCATAGTATACAAGTGGATCCCCATCCACTCTATCTACTACTTGGTTTACTCTTTACTTGTTCTGTATCCTTGCAATTGCAGAGCATTGCAGAGACATCAACCGTGTGTGTTGTATCACCGCTGATGTCAACAGTAAGCAATGTCTCCACTACGGTCCGGCTCTCTCCATCTGTAGGCGATACTCTATTGCAGTCCAGTTACCTTCCACTATCATCGAGTGACTGTCAGCATTACGAACACTCTGTTATAGGATCGTATGCGCAGAAGATCTGGATTCGTATGAGAAGAGACCATGTGCTGGCATCACAGGATTGGGCAATTAGTGGGTTCTGACAGAGTTTGTTAAGATTGGTAGGATCAAGGACTTATGACAGAATTTGTCAGGATGGGTAGGATTGAGTTCTTACATCAGAGTGCATCAGGATCAGTAGAATCATGACTGTATGACAGATCTTGAGGAAACCAGTTAGAGGGTGCTGCTTCCACCAATCTCACAAGGGGATACACAAAGTGAGGGCTTGCCACTCAGGTGAGGTGGGAGAGACCCTATACAATGATGAACTTGGCATAGGAGGACAAATGCCATAGACAGGGAGCTGACAGGAGCAAGATGAAAGAGGGTGCACCTTGTCAATCAAAGGAGGTGGGAGCGACCCCTGTCAGCAATGAAGTCACACTTGGTTGCCGCAACAAAAGTGTCAGAGGTCACGTGCCTGAAACCCGATATCTGTAGTAAAAAGACAACTACTACTGATCTTATTGAGATCTGTGGTAAAGGCCCTTTATTATTATTCTTGCTGAAATCTGTTGTAGAAGCCTTCTATGACTTTTCTCACTTGAATATGTTGTAACTGATATCTATTGCAGATTTCGAATGACCACTGGGGACACTCTGCTCAGAGGTAGCTCAGCACAATCACTAGTTGATAGATACTTTGAGGTGACACCAAGGTCTGGTGTGAATATGCTTGCACCAACATGAGTGTCCAATGTGTTGACTGAATGAATGATGATCCCCAGACTGCAGTGGACAACTGCCTTTGGTTCTATTGATCAAGAGAGCTGGACCACAGTATGAACCACCTTTGGTGTTGATTGATATCCAGACCACAGAATGAACTTCCTTTGGATGGCATCAAGTGGTGATACAACACATGCACTATGGTAGTAGCAATACTCTGCAATTGCTACTGATGACAAATCTACTAAGTATACTTATTGTGAAGTTATAGCTAGTAATGTAATGTGTAGAGTGGATGAAGATCCACTCACTTGCTATGACAAGGAGCATGGTTATATATCCACTCCCACAACATTGCCTGCAACACTGCTCCTGCTCTGGGAGGCTTCTGTCATGGGCCTGAATGCTCAAAAAGCAGGAGGGTCACTGGTTCATAATGGAAGGAGCACAGGTATCAGAGATCTAGTCGATACCAGTGGAGAGCATGGTTGTAGTGTAGTCTCCATGGAGACCATGGACTTCTACAGACTCACATGCAAAGGAGGACTGGGCCCATATGCGAGGAGGGCCAGGCACAGCCATGAAGAGGACCAAGCTCAAGGAGCATGCAGACAGTTACCA